AATTAATAATAAACAAGCATTACCAAAAATATACAAAATGTCAAAAATATAAAACAGCTCACCTTATTAAATAATTAAAAATATAAAATCTTAATTGACAAACATTAATAAAATCAAAAGTAACTTTATATAAATATTGCATTAATAAATAAATAATAAATAATGTAAACACAACACAATACTGACTTGAGCCTTATATATAAGTGTTTGTTTTATATTATATTTTATAAATTGTTATTTGAATAAGTACTCATAATCTTTTTGGAATAAAAACATTTGATAAAACAATAAATGGTATCCTGGATTTGTTTGGTGATTGCCTAACTCTATCAATTGACCTCAGGTCGCTCGCCAACGGATAAGTTACACCATCCCCCCAAACTTGTATCTACAGGAAAAGGCCACAAAATAACTTCTTTTCCAAACACTTCCCGTATGTTTCTACAGCATCCTAAGTTAAATTCATTTTTATCACAACCTTCTAAAAACTTCGGAGGACGGAAAGACTCTAGTGTAGTGCGGTTTTTTGAAACCAGATAGATGTGATATGCAAATAGTGAAAATAAACTGATTGAAAACATTGAAGCAATAAAGAACAAAAATATTATGTGAATTTTTTCTGATCCTCCTGAAATTCGCACATCTGAAGTAACATCCCAGAATTTAATAACATATTCCGCTGTGGTAGCTACCACGTAAATACACATCAGGAGACCGTAAGCCAAAAACAATATAAAGAACTTATAGTTTGAATATGATACACAATTGTTGACCCAAAGACAATGATGGTCCATTTTTAACACACATTTACGACATACACTGCAATGGTGTGATCTATCTGGTTTCACTACTCTACATTTATCACAGTACCGAATATCATCAGCGTTTGTAAAAGTCATGACCGGCAAATTTTCCGAAAAGTCACGCAAAACTGCATTCTGCCTGTTCAAATCAATAGGTATTCTGTTGAACTCTTCAAACACTTCTTCTGGTAGCCTGAATTTTGGTGGCACACCTCCAGGTTCTGTGAAAATCGTTTTGAAGTAGGACCATAGGAAGAACACCAGGATGATGTGGTACACGGTTAAGTACAACGCTTTGACTTCCATTGACGCGATGTCACCCAAGGCGCTGATGCACAGATGGTAGACGTACGCGTAATACGACCACGCGAGGATGCATAGGATGAATATCACCGTAATGCTCTTGACAATTTTTACGCAGAATGCACAGCAGAACCGTTTCGAGTCTGAAGCGTCCATTGCCGCAGGTCGGATCCTCGGACTCGTTCGCGGTGTTGGCGACGACGACAACGACCGTTCAAGGTGTCAACAGCATCCCCAGCACCGCGGTGGTCGTCCGGAGTGCGATAGGAACGTGCAGGAAAATGTGAAACACAAAACAATCGGTTGACAAACGAGCGCGTGCTGCAAGGGTACGTTACCGGGCTACGAGTACTCCATGAAACGACGACCAACAGTTTAGTAAACCATGCGTTACGTAACCCCACATCAACGGGACTCGGCAAGTTGGTAGTTGCTGTTACTGTTGTTGCATAGCAGAATGATCGCAGTGTACCCTGAAGAACGCTCTCACACCTTGACATAAAATATTAAATACTACATACAAAATACATACAAGTTATTTCTAAATAAAACTATTAGTTTACTTTATGTATATGTTAATACTTATAAACAGACAGTTTATTAAATATATTTGAGTTTTGTTTCTATATCAACATAAAAATTAATGTATAAGATGGCCTATGTATTTTAGTCACAGGAGCGTAAATTCTAGGAAAATGTTCGTGGGTAGTGGCGTATTTTAAATTTTTTTCCGGTGAGGGGTCCAATGATTCTAACAAAATATAGTTAGGTACTGATATAGAGATAATAGTAATAATAATATATAGTATTAAGTATAATAGTTTTCAATAGATTATAAGAATTAAAAATAGTTGTTTTATTATAATTTATAATTTTAAAGTACAAAATCCTAGCATCGTTTTTTTTTTTTTACAAAGTTCTTCTAAAATGTCTTTTGGTAAGAGAGAATCTTTTCTATAAACAGACATCATAACCAATCTATGAAGACTATTCTAGGAAAAATAAATTGAAAATTGTTTTCTGGTTTCGGAAAAAGAAGTTTAGTTTTAACTCAGCGGGTTTTTGAGCGTTCGACCACAAAATATATGAAACAATATGAAGAATGTATGTTTCATATATTCTGTGATTCGACTGTGTCCATTAGCTAATTTTAAACTATATTTCATATAAACTTTTTGTTCACAGAAAAAACCATGTCCGCACGTGCCCACATAAATCGGGGTCTGCAAATATGAAAGAATTTTTAGTTTTTCCTGGAGATATTCTGGGGGGGGGGCAGTACCACTGGACGATTCAGTAAATACGCCTCTGTCCATGGGAGCCATGCCCTCACGGAATTTTTCTCTTGGGGGCAGTTGCTTCCATAGCCCCTATTGTTCCAGCGCCCATGCAAGTATGTTTACTCACAAGTAGGGAACGGAGTTCATTGTATTGTATTTTATTACAATGAACTCCGTTAGTTCAATGTAATAAAAAAAAAACAATATTTTTTAGCAATAATTTTGCTTTCTATGACAACAGCTTAGATTTAAAGAAGGTATTCAGTGCATAAAGGCATCGGTTAGCAGCGCCTAATCTGATAATGATCTCTCAATGCATGTTGTTTTGGTTATTTAGGGTGGACCGTAAGTACTTGAACTCTTGTACTTGTTCAAAGGTGTTATTTTCCAAGTGGAGGTTATTATGGTCACCCACTCCTCGTTTTACTATCATGTATTTAGTTTTTCCACTGTTGATTGTTAGTCCAATATCTTTTCCTATCTTTGTCAGTTCTTCAACACTACTCTGAATACCTTCTCGCGAATTCCCAATAACCACTATGTCATTTGCATAAGACATTTCTTTCGTAAAGGTTTAATGTCTCATTTCTCGGTAGTTTTCTTATTACACTCTCCAGTGCCATATTGAAAATCACTGGTGACATTGCATCCCCTTGTTTCAACCCACAGTTTATTATAAGTTAAGATGATAGTTCGTTGTTTACCTTGATTCGGCTGTTGGTGTTCGTGTTACATAGTTTTATCATGTTGATTAATTAAGTTGATAAACCAAAGTCTTTAAGAGTTTTATATTCTGGAACTAAGCACTGAGCAACAACATATTGCTAAAGGTTTGCAAATAAAAAATTCCAACGGTTTGGTCGAAGAATGCTCTTGTATTGATAAAAGACCGTTCCAAAACAACTGATGTGATAAGGTCGTAATTCATATTTGCTAAATCAGAAGGAGTGAATTCAATGTCCAGAGATCCTTGTTGATTAATTCCTATTAAAATATCTCTGATGATCATTCTAAAAATAAGTAGGTACATAAATGTCATTTAGATAATATACAATATTTGGATGTCTTCAAAAATAAATGTTAGACAAAACTTATAATATTTATCGTCATCAAAAATCAATAAAAAAAATCAAAAATTATATAAAATATAACTATAATATAACACAAAATCTGTACTTTTTTACCAAGTATGTAAAAATATGTAAAATAAATTTAAGTTTAAATTTAAATTATTTAAATTATTAATTATTATTTATATAATTTATTTAATTTCAATTTCAATTTTTTTAATTCAATTCAATTAGAATGATCTAAATTGTACACATTTTTTATCAGATTTAAAATATCTCATTCTAATAAAAATATGTATTTACAATAAAATCCGTTCCCTACTCATAATAAATGATTAAAAGTATCTTGTAACATGAATTTACACTGCAAATTGCAATGTATGCGAAAGAAATAACCGTGTAAAAAATTCAACGTGCACTGATACCATGACGACATTGCTGGTTGTTTTTTCGGTTTCGATTATAACCGATGTAATATCCATTTGGTTGCACAATGCATATATTATTTTATGTAGTCAGTACTCGAATTAGGAAATTAAGCCTCCTTATCTGCAGAGCCATATTGGTTTATAGTATAGATACGAAATTGTACATTAGACCTCAATTATATAGGCCTTTTCAACATATTAAAAATGTTTAAAATTAAGGTATTTTAAAATAAAATGCATGGCAGGCTTATTTTAGCTAGTCTGACACTGCAGTAACCATCATCTTATCTGAATTTATCTGTACTTGAAACATTTTTACTTCCAAGGGAGTTTTTATTGAAATCAAACTTTTTCAAATGTTTTTCAAACATTAATATCTAAGAAGTGATTACACGTATTTATAGTTGAGGCCAGTGGCGTGTACAAGGGGGGGGGGGTGGAGCTCAGATAGCCAACCTCTAGGTCTTTTTCTAAATGTTATAAAATAATGTTCTTAGTGTGAAGGCGTTTAAAACTTAAAAAAAATGATCCCCCCCTCCCATACAAATGTTATGTATTCGTCACTGGTTGAGTCTGTATAACATTATGTATCACAGAATTGATTAAATTTTAAGTTTTTGGTTCCCGTTTTATTTAATCAATGATCATAGCTTGTAGCATAGATTTTATAATATGTTTATATATATTATATATAATATAATATTATATTATAAAACTAATGTTTTCGAGCACTACATTGGTGAATTATAAAATCAACATTATTAGAAAACGGTTAAACACGCAAATCATGAAACATGACCTCATGGATAGTTAGGAGAAAGACGAAAATTGTCGAGAATGAATCACCATCATGTGCGGCGACATGCCCATAGACAAATGAAAACCGTGCGAATCGCACACTCCTAATAGCAACAGTAACACGCGTTGGCCGGTGGGGGCGCAGCGATTGGCATCACTGACGACGACGGCCATCCGTCGGGCCGACCTTGCGTCGTGGACGGGTCGTTTTGAATTTCATTTCAACGGACGTGTGTGCCGCGTGCCTGCGTGTGCGTGCGCGTGTGATCGTTATTTCTCCCCTACCACCACCGACCAACCGTCACGCAGTGCGGTAAAGAACGGGGAGAGCGAAATACGAATGGTATTGGAAAAAAAAAAAACCGTTCAAAAACCAATCGTCGTCCGGTGGAAACGCACCGCCGAACAAGACGCGAATAGTGATATTAACAGTTAATATATATCATAGAGTAACTGCTGATGTTGCCGCTGCGGGGACGTTTCAGGCATGGTGATTAAAAAATCGGGTTGTCAAAAAATGTCTGTCGGAAACCGAGATTCGCGTTTCATTTGAAAACAATTGAGAGACCACTCGAATTGTATAGTTTTCCTTTCGTTTTTCGCGCGACGGCGGCGTGACGTCGCAGACGAGTATAGATCATATACGCAACGTGGTGCGGATTCGTTGTCGCCTTTGTTGTCGTCATCGGTAGTCGCCTACTACTCTGGTTTGATGCCGCCGCCGCTGCTGGTTATCACTCGTACTCGTCGCAGTTTGGCGTAACGGTTTTGTGTTCGCACACACGGGCCGCGCCGCCGCCGTCACCGCCGTAGCACACTCAACAGTGCACACATCGCATCTACGTATGTCCATTTTTTTCAATATCACCTCGCTAACGGTTTTTTTCGTGCACCCGGTTTCTCGTCACCGTGTTATCCGTTGTTTCATCGGTCGTTGCACACCATATCACACGCAAGTGTCATATTCGTTACTCCGTGGACGGTCGTTGTCATCCGTTTCGGTGTCGAGAATCAAACTTTTTCGTCGACTCCCAACATGCAAGTGGAAGACACATTGTTCGAGGGCGTCAACTTGAAACTGGCCATGGACATCAATATCAAACGTACCGATGGTGAGACAGCGGCATACCTATTATAATATATAATTAATCTATATTATTGTTTCGCGACAATATGCCCGATGTATGTCTCCAGGACCCCCCCTACATGCACCCTGTAGTGACAGTTATCGGACTCTAACGCATTTGAGTTATTTTCTAATGTCTAGACTCTGTTTGGCTGTGACTTCTGTTTATTGATTTTGTCCTTAATTTTTATCTTTTGATTGAGACGACATTGTATTAGCTGTAAAATACTGTAAGGTAACAATGAATAATTCTATATCATATTATGCAGAATTGTCACAATTGAATTGATATATCATATAGAACATTGGATCATGCTGAGGCATACTTATACCTGTATTGCTACTTGGATAATTGATTTCTTAAATTGGGGTTTTTTGTTACATTATAATGTTTTGTATAGAGATCGGCTTAAAATGTATTTAAAGTTTGTTTATTGAGTTACTGACAAGGACAATTTATCTATACTTATAATTTCCATGATCTATTATATCGGATAAGCCTTAGGCTTTTCAAACATTTATTTACAGTTGAGAATTAATAATATATTGTTATATGTTATTTATGTCTTATTGATTTTAGCTATTCAGTTTGATATTATCAATCATTTAAATTTTGTTTTGAATTTTTGTAGCTGTGAATTCATAATGAATTATTTTGTTTATCATTAACCAATATTTATTATTTATAGTCTATTCAAATTTTTAAACCTTGAAATTTATTAAATTTATTTTTTTTTGGATGTTCTGGTCAAAATATTGGTGTTTTAATAATATCAATGTGTTTTTGTTCACCTTTATAAATATCAAAGATATTAAGTTGTTGAACGTTTTTTTATAAGTAATATTTTCATAAAATGTATGATTACTATATTTTGCTATGGTTTTGGGTCTTTGTAAATTTATTTGTTACAATGTAGACTTGATACTCAAAATTATTTAAATGATACATAAAATTGAATGTAATGCATTATACATTCATTAGTTGACATTTTGTGACTTTAAATACTTAGAATGTATATTACTTTCGAGTTTATTCTGTATGATACAAAGGCATTTTGCATTGGCTAAATGCCAATGTTAAATGTTTGGTAAAATACTAATACCTTTTCGATACTAGTAAATATATCACAATAGGTGTATTATAAGATAAGTTCTAAACATACCTATTAAATAACTACCTATACAGTTATTGGTTCCATGAAAATTTCTAACAATAAGCTTTTAAAAAACTGCTGTTTTGAATTTATTAAATATAAGCTCGTCTTCATTCTTTATGATGATTTATTTCACATAAACTTTACTGTTATTGAATAACGCAAGTCTGGTTTGAGTTTTTGGTTTACTGTAAAAGAAAAATAACATACCTGCTTAAACTAGGTAACCTAAGTAAACCTGTGGAATTAAAACAATTAGCTATATTTGTACATAACTGCTATGACATTTTTAAACCTTGATGTAGTGTTTAATATTTATGTGATATAACTATTATTTAAAAAATTCTATATACCATTATAATTTATTTGAGTGAGTATCATAAATGATCTCGTAAATTATGATATGCTGAGTAGTATTCTAATACAATTTGTAAATGTAAAGATATTTACTTATATAATGTTCACTTGATCATTTTCATTAAATAAATTATTATTATTAATTTATTAATGCCAATATTAAGTAACCACTTAATTTATTTTATTATCATTCTTAACTACATGTTTTATTATATCTTAATTTAATTTAGTAAAATAAAAGAAGTATCGATAAAGATTTGTCTTGGATATAAGTATAATAGTTAATTATGATGTAACTTTCAAGGCAACTTAATTTTGCTCTTTAAAATAGATATAAAATAACTAACTAAACTAAAAACTCTATCAAATAGAACACACATATTTTAGAAATTAAAATTGTATTATTCTTCATCATAAACAAAATTAAATAACTAAAAATTGGTTTTACTCAAGTTAATTATTGATACTACAGTGGAATATTTTTATCGTAATAATATAGCTCATAACTGCTTACATTAGATTACAATCATGTTTTGTGACATGTCTTGTCTACCCACCCTACATTGTTTATTAGTTTTACTCTTATAGTATTAAATAGATTCTGTTCTTAATTTTGATTGTAAAAATAAATATTTTTTAAATCATGTATACCTATTTGGTATTATTTATTATTGTTTATAATTAAAAACCTGCATATTAATTGTTTTATGTTTAATTTATTGTTGAAATGTTTTAAAATTAATTTGGAATATAGTTGATTTGTTAAAATAAAACTTACCAGCTATCATATTTTAATGTACAAGTTGAACATTCTTTGAATTAATGAATTAGTAACACAAATTGGAAGATCTCATTTTTAGACTTAAAAAATAAACTCAATTATTTTTGATTGATTCTATTATTTTGTTTTATTTATTTTTAATATACATAATTAAAAAAATCTAGTAAGTCATGTATGTAATAGAGTTCAGAAATAAGATCTATAATGTTCTTAATGATTTGAGAAATAACTATAAACTTTTTGTGCTTATTAATTTGAAAAATCAAATATCTAATTTAAATGATCTAAAAAATTATATATCAAAATTATTTTTAATTTCTTTAGTCCCATGAAATTGAAACTGATGCTGAAAAGCATACTGATAGTATTAAAATTAAAAATTGTTTTACTACTCATAATTTAATTTTTCAACTAATGCATTTAATTCAATCAATAATGAATTAAAATATTTTGATTTAAATTAGAACATAAAATATAATGATAATATCTTTATTAATACATTTTTAATTTTTTTAACAGATGAGAAATTTAACATTCATTTAATATTTTACTAAAAATAATTATGATAAGTATATACTTCTTCATTTTAAAGCAATTTTAATGCGAAATAATTTCATTTGTTATTTTGTTATCAAAAATAGTCTATATATATAATATGGTGATTTAAAATTGAATAAATACGTCCATACATATTATATTCAAATTACCCACTTTAAAATATGTATCCAATTGTACAATACTAGTTTACATAGTTAATAGGTCCTATATGGATCTCTGAATAATGTATTACCTAATAGTTTACAATTACATTAATATTGTAATTATTTATTGTGTTAAATTAGGCCTAATAGAAAAATGAATAATTTATTAAACTTGCAATCAAACAAGTGTTTTTTATTATTCTTTAAAAGTTTATAAGTAGCATTTTTAAAATATGTGATCAAACACTATTTGATATTATTGTATAATAAAATAATTTTAGAACTTGTTAGATCTTATAGTATTTACCTGGTTTGAATTGGCTGTTCGTTATGTAAGTTATGTTTTCGGGGAAAATAAAGTTGTTTACTACCCTTTTATGTTTTTACAAAAAGTATGATTTGTGCTGAAATAATATGCTAACGTATTTTATTTGGGTGGGTGACAAGACAACAGTTGTTTGACCTTCAGTATTATCTTCTGTAGGCGGCCTGGCAGTCACAAGACCATATAAGGACGTCCAGAAAATGCAGACTCAAATACGTGTATGTAAGGGCCATTATAGTACTACTACAGTATGTCCGACTTTTTTAGTTTCATTAAAACTAAAGTTGATCAACAACAATATATAGATACAAACATAAATATTTATTATTTTTAAAATCTTCAATCATATTTTATTTTTTATTTGCAATATTTTATGATTAAAAACCATATGCCCAAAATCACATTTTTTTCGCAAATATTTTCTTTCGTTAAATATATTAAATTATCTTCATAATGGTTTGTTATTATAGGGTATTCGCTATATGCTGTGTTTCATTATTATTTAATATCTGTAGGGAGAAACATACTTACTCCAATCGTTTTGTAATTATTATTTTCGTCTTTTCCTTCTATTATTTACTGATATTGATTTTGATTAATTTAATAGAGAAAAATATTGGGATTATCTATTTAGATAACTGATCATCACTATTCTTAAATAAAATTAAGTTATTTTTAAATTCGGAGTACTTACCTATATATGAAAACTAAACACACCTACCTTCTCTTACAACTAAAATCTACCCACACGAATCATTGTGAAAAATAAATATTTTTTTCTGTTATCTTATTGAGTACCTATGATAATTAATTTTAGGTTCTTAATAATGATGACATTTAAATATCAAAATAATAAAAAAAAATCATTAAATACCATTTATTTGCTTTATTTAAACAATTACTTCAATGTTGTTTAATGTTTTATCCCATATTTTTCATTTTTTTTTCAATACTACAACTTACAGTTGAAATTCTAAATACAGAGATAACTTTGTTCCATTTTTTGACCACATATATTATACTATCTTGTATACTCAATCTCGCTACCACTGTAAAATAAAATTGCATTTTTATCATTTTTTTCATGTTCAAATTATGTGACTTATAAGTTGTGCATATATTACTTGTTTTACATTTTTTTGTGACATTTAAAGTCATAATCAATTTTATTTTATTTTTATTTTTTTGTTATTTGTCTACATACAGGTTTAAAATCTTGATAAATAAATATCTTGTATCGATATAACGTCAAAGTAAACTGTCTTTAATTTATCACTATATGTAGAAATGTAGACTTGTTATTCAAATAAGAATTACTTTTATGTTGGGACCGTGAACTGATAGCGAATTGAATATCCGGAGTATAAAAATGTATTTAAATTTAATTATTATTTTAATTACGTGATATAATCGTATGTTATTTCAAGTTTTAAATATTAATTATTTTTCTCTTGAGTTTTCTCAGTATTATTTTTCGTTTTCTGTTAATAGTTTCTGTAAAAAAAAAAAAAAAAATTATTTTCTTAGAAATCCATTTTACTTATTCTGATGATATTTCGTAAATTATACTCGATTTGACCACTGATTTATTATAAATAATCGAAGAAAAATAATTTTAATAAATATATAAAACTTTAACGTCTATTTATAATATTTTTTTTATTTATTTTTTTTTTTTTTTGGGGGGGGGGGGGTATTGGACTTTTGGGACCATCCCGTCTAACAACCAAGCTTCCATCCTTCTCTATTCAGTGCTAGATTTCTCCAGTTGGAACCAGCTTGTTCCATCTGTTCAACATTCTTTTTTATAGCATCTTCCCAGCGTATTCTTGGTCTTCCCTTAGGCCTTTACATGCAGGAGTTCAATCATTGCATGTAATAGTGTATTTATAATATTATATTTTTTAATATTACTTTATACAAATAATATAAAAATGAAACTGATGAAGTTTTTGTCCATTAAACTTAAGTTCAATGGAAGTTAATGGTGTTGTGATAAGTTCAAGGACATTCGGGTTCAAATATATAATTGTAGCTTTGCACTTTTTTAAATATGTTAGAACGAATTTAATACGTTTTTCTTTTTTATTAAAGAGGTGTTAACATTAAATTATAATATCTCAAAAATGAATAAGAACATGAAAGTGGTAATAAAAAAAAAAAATTACAATTAATTACAATTATTAAGATAAAAAAAAAAAATAGAAGAGATACAAAACATTTCTAAAAAATATGGATAACTCTAAAACTCATACTAATTAAATGAGTTTTAAAATTAAAATAATGATATTCGATTATCAATTTACTATTGTCTATCGGACTGTATTATTTTATTGTGTAATTTTATTAAAATTATTCTTTATCAAAATATATTAAGTATGGTTTATATATATACACATTATATTTGATACCTATGTAATATGCATAGTAGATATTACATTATAATTTTTTTTTATACAATAGATCTATTTTATTAATGTATTTGATTTCTTAATTATTACACCTACCTATATATAATGTTAAGTTGATCAATATAAATATTTATTTGTAAAATATGAGTAAATGGTATTGTTATCAATATGTAGGTACATATAATTTATTATGTGATTTGTTATGATTTTAATTCATATATATTTCCAAGATGTTTAGACTTGCGTTACACGCAAAAGTTATGTGGGGTATACAATTATAAAATACCTTTCGGCCAACATTGAACAAATCAAGAAATCCTTGAATGATTCTGAAATTTTTCCTAATAAGGTTATAGGTCATGATATCATTTACATTTCAGTATGATTTTAGTTACATCTGATTTCTAGAAAATAAATATTAAAAAAAAAAAAAAAAACAACAAATTATTAATCGATAGTAGCACCCTCCTAAAGCACTCAATTATTTTCTGTTGTAGTGTTTTATCACCCTGCTGAAATCGTAATTTTATACTAATATCTAATAAGCAATAATAATTCCCTATTATATTGATACATTGTTAAATTGCTAAATTTTAATTTAACTTATTATATGTAAAAAAAATGCATTGACATATGCAACTTATTAATTTATTACGTCTAACGCCAATTTGGATAAATTGTGTCAATACTGATCGATTTGGATTATTATTATTTTTAACAAGTTAGCATGGCCTCCAGACGTTTGTACTATTCATCCTATTACTGTACACGTAGGGTAGAAAGGGGTGGGTAACCAGTGCCTGGTACGATTGGCAAATGTACTTTACGGATACACCACCAGTATTGTACCCAATGAATCATTGCTGAAGCAATTGAAAGTTTCGCACGTTAATTTAAATACATTCAACGTGTACATATGATTAAAATAAAACGCCGGCCGTTGTCATCTAAATAAATCAATTGCTTGTTCACTAGTTCGGTGCATGAGCGTTCGCGGAAACTGTTAATCGCGAGTCTTGTTGTTCTTCATGAAAAGGTTTCGTAGCTAAGATAAAACATTATGTCATGGATTAAGAAGAGTTTATCGTGTTTTAAAATTAACAAAAATAGTAGTAGTAGTGAATGTAACAAAAAAAATGATTCGAAATCGTGTTATAACAGTAATGTGGATGCTAAATTGGAAGTATCGGACAAAAATATTCAATGTAATTTTGACGAAGAGCATGTTGGAAATCTAGTATGTGATAATGGTCAGTAACTTATTTTGCATATTATTTTTTTAGAGGTATTTCGTATTTTTTGTTCTATTTTTAAATGCAAGTACATTTATGTTTCAGAAAATAATTTTATCCATCTCTATTATTATTTTGAAATTTTAATACTTATTATTGTATTTTTGTTTACGATCTTTATGTTGAAACATATGTATGACTGATATAATTCCTCAATTATTTTATATCTATGAGTGTTTTAAACAATGATACATTTTTCCATTAGAAAATAAAATAAAATTTTAACATGCTTAAATATTTTTTGGGATTAATAAAGAATTCTAAATCTTGTAATTTTCCGAGAAAACTAATTCTGTATCCCATTAAATTATCATTGATTATAAATAGGTAATTGCCTCTGATTATTCGTCCATCATCTTCTATAGCTTGTTTGAGTGAAATAAATTGAATTTATTATTGGTATATTAATAAAAATCCCATTGTATATTTGTATATTGTGCAGTCCACAATGTAACAAGTATTTTTTTCATAAATGTTTATTTTCGATATACCTATAGTTTTTAGTTGATAAATTCGTTTCACACTTTATGTTAGAAATAAAATGTCAGTGCCAATAATTTATTTATGCGTGTTTCAAATGATTGTAAAATGTTATTAACACTGCTCTTGAATACTATAACTTTTTTTGTGATCATTAATCATTTCATTCATTACAGTATACTGTATATGTTTGTAACGTTGATTTAGAAAATATTTTACTATTCAAAAAGGCGTATAATAATAATATGTAGAACTGTAGGAGTACTTTTGATGTTGATTTGTGTTGATCGAGTTTTAGTTCGTGATTCTGATGTAATAAAAGAAAACATTTAAGTAATTGTAATTCAACTAAAAATTCAATTATATATATTTTTTATTAAGTAATACTATTTACAATAATGTATATTACGAGGTATATTATTTTGTCATGCACATCTCTTAATTATTATAGTTGACGTTACAAAAGCAAACTGTAGTTTAAGGATAAAGGTGTGTTATAGCAATCTTACCTCTCGAAGTGTCATGAAAGGTCATTGCACGGAGATAGCTCATTAATTGTATTAATATAAGTCGATTTTAATATTTATACTTAGAAAATGAGTTTCTTTTACTTGTTGCTATGTTACACAAAAATGAATGGAAATGGTCTAACGATTTTCAGCCTAGTTACTGAGGCAACAAAATATAACCATTATTAGTTCTTACCAATTTTAATTATTAATTATATAAAAAGTTTTAATTTAAATTGGAATCTGCGTAGTATCATAATTATATGTTTAACATTTTATTATTCCATGTTACATAAGTATTAGTTTTATTTGTATTTATAGTTTCTACTCATAAAACAATAAAATGTAGATTTTATAACAGTATCTATATGTGTTTAATATTTATATATACATGCAAAATATCTTTATGTAACAACAATTTCCAATTAAAAAAAGAGATCTGCTCCAAACATTGCGCAGGGTATCAGCAATCATTTCGCTTCACTCATCTCATTGAAATACGATGTTTTATCATTTTCTTGTATTGAAAGTTTTTGAAAATCCTAGTATTCAAAGAACAATTTCAGCAAACATAAGTTATATTATATCTAACTACTTTTAAAATTATTGTTTCATTTCAATTTAAAAAATATATAAATAAATTTCATATTATTTTTTTAGAGTTTCGACATAGTTATGCCATATTATTATAAATTTGATGTTTTAGTAGATTATGTTATATTTTTATGATATGTACATAATATAACCAAATTGAGATGTAGGTAGATGCGATAAGTACATTTTTAAAGACTATTATCAACACATTTTTAAGTATCTAATTTAATTTTTGTGTTAATGCGTTAATGCTTAGAACAGCATTCTAAGCAGAAATGCCGTGTTTTTAATTTTCTTGGGAAATTCCGAAAATAGTTTACAAACTGCTACAAACTTGTTGCTGTATTATATTTCTTATCGATAGATTCAAGTATAATTATATCATCTTTTCGCAATACCACTTAACCATTAATAGTTTCCTTCTTTCGGGATATGTATGGACTGATATTTAAATTTTAAATTTGTGGTAATGATTATAATACATTCTGGATTTAGAGGATAAATGCTTTTAAGGAAATCAGATATTTTCTTTTTGTTCATTCGTCTTAATTTTTTTTCTAATCACCTATTTATGTGGTGCTAATTATTTAGTTGAGTATCTCTTTTAAAAAAAAATGTCGATTATATTTATAAGTATACTTTTCTGTTATGTAACCAGGTCATGTGTTGTGGTCATTCTATCATGTTTACTCAGATCTAATAAATGTTACCATAGTTTCCGTTTATTGTAAGTTTTGAAGTGTTATGTTGACCCTTCCCATATGTACTATTTTTATACGAAAGAGCATTTAGGGTTATTCTATGTTTCTTGTTTATAAATATGTTCCTATGGGTAACCTTGTACAATATTAAATACATTAAAACAATATGAAAAGGTCAAGTTCATTTCCATTATAGTTTTTGTTTACAAATTTACTTTCTTTGATTATATACAAATTTAATTTCCTCGGAGAAATAAAAGAAATAATTTCTATATATTTTTTTATATAAAATAATATTTGCGGTAATAAAATCTATTTTAAGTTTTAATTTTTATTAATATGAATTAAAAATTTATATTTTAGGTCGCATTCACAAAGCTGTTGTGTCTAGAATGAATCCAGATACAAGAAGCATTTCAGTAGAATGGTTAGAAAAAGGCGAAACAAAAGGAAAAGAGGTAAGATTGATAACTGTTTCAAACACAAATTCAAATAAGTATAGTTATAAAAATAATAATACATTTTTTATACTTTATACAGATTGATTTAGATGGAATTTTAGAACTGAATCCTCAACTACGTTCAAATATTCCAAGTATTAATATGGTTGCTCAAAACGGTACCAATATACCAACTACTAGCAAATTAGCAAGGGTAAATTTAACATTTCGGATTGATAATTGTTTAAAAAACAATAATTAAATTTAAAATATATATATATAGATAAATTTATTCGTTTATTGTGTTCATACAAATACTTGTATTTATTTTTCTAGTATTCCACAAAAGCCTCAATACAAGCTTTTACAAATAACAAAGGCAAGTATTTATTACATTCATTGGAATTAAACATTTTAATTAGCCATGTGTAGTCCTGAAATGTACATTTCAAGTATAATTTGTAATTTTAATTAGGTTTGTATAAAGGAACAAAACCTGTTACTAGACAAACCAATCATTACTCTCCAGCTGTAAATGGTTCTAGTGAAGTTTTATCAACAACAGTTCCCTGTACGCCATTAAATCCTCCAACTCAATACCAACAAATACCTGTGTTAAAACCAGCTGATCCGCCACCACCACAACAACCATTAACTAATTTATACAGCAATAATATAGCAGCAACAAACCGTGGGGCAAATACAATAGCAGCAGCAGCAGCTGCTGCTGCAGCAAAAGATAGGCGAAGTAATGTTGTCAAAGAAGTAGCAAAATTAAAAAAAAATCGAGAAGAAAGAAGACAGCGACAGGCTGAACTTAAAGAAGAAAAAGAAGCTTTAATGAATATGGATCCAGGAAATCCAAATTGGGAGTTTCTTGCTATGATTAGGTAAGATAATTATAATTTATAATGCATATAACTTTATTAATTACTGTTTTATTTTAGAGACTACCAAGTTAACTTAGATTTCAAGCCCTTAAGAGATTCTGAAGTAGTTGAAGATCATCAAATCACTGTCTGCGTTAGAAAAAGACCTCTCAATAAAAAAGGTATTGACATTTAAATTTATATTAGTGGATTCAATTTTTATATAAGTAATATTCAATGATATTTGTAGAAATATGGTGTTATGTAATAGATAAAATAAAGTATTTTAATATACAATAATACTATTGAATATTAAAACTGTCCAACTCTTAAATAACTGCTATATTATGAAAAAAATATTTTTGTTTCAGAACTCAATCGAAAAGAAGTAGATGTTATTGCTATCCCATCCAAAAATCAAGTTATTGTACATGAACCTAAAAACAAAGTAGATTTAACAAAATATTTAGAAAACCAGCATTTCAGATTTGATTATGCTTTTGATGAGACTTGCAACAATGAAACAGTTTACAAGTAAGTGAACAAACTTTTTGATTTTTTAAAAAAAGATTTGAAAAATTAAATAACAATGAAATTTTTGTTAGATATTCTGCAAGACCTCTTGTAAAAACTATATTTGATGGTGGAATGGCTACCTGTTTTGCTTATGGACAAACTGGTAGTGGTAAAACGCATACCATGGGTGGAGATTTTCATGGAAAAACGCAAGACTGTAAAAAGGGCATCTATGCAATGGCTGCTAAAGATGTTTTCCGATTTTTAAATTCATCTAGTTACTCCCCATTAAATCTGGTTGTCACAGCTAGTTTCTTTGAAATATATAGTGGAAAGGTACTGTTTATTAATCAACTTGTTTAATTATGTATAGTTAAATGTTTATGATCAATGTCTTTTAGGTATTTGACTTACTTGGTGATAAAGCCAAGTTAAGAGTTCTTGAAGATGGTATGCAAAAAGTACAAGTAGTTGGGCTTACTGAAAAAGTGGTTACTACTGTGGACGAAGTATTGAAAATAATTAACGATGGCAACAGTGCAAGGTAAAAATTGGTTTTAATTTTTTCTGTTAAATATTTTACTATATTATAAAATATTAAAAAAATTTTAGAACTTCTGGTCAGACATCTGCCAACAGTAATTCTTCAAGGTCACATGCAGTTTTCCAAATTGTATTACGTATACCTGGTCTAAATCAAATACATGGAAAATTTTCATTAATAGATTTGGCTGGAAATGAAAGAGGTGCTGATACATCTTCTGCAAATCGTCAAACACGTAATATTCTTTTGATCTAACATTGTTCGTAATGACTTTCATTACATTATTAACTTGTTTATTACTTTTTATATTTATTCTAGGAATGGAAGGTGCAGAAATAAATAAATCTCTTCTTGCATTAAAAGAATGCATTCGTGCTTTGGGAAAAAAAGGTTCTCATTTACCTTTTAGAGCTAGTAAGTTAACACAAGTACTTCGAGACTCTTTTGTTGGTGAAAATAGTAAAACATGTATGGTGAGTAATTCATTAAAAAATGTTATTTTTGCCAATAATTTAATGTTTTATTAATTAAGTTCATAATTATAATAATTATACATTTTAGATTGCAATGATTAGTCCAGGACTAAGTTCATGTGAACATTCTCTAAACACCCTCCGTTATGCTGACCGTGTTAAAGAATTGGACGCATCAGATCCTGCAGCTGGTGAGAATCATGCTCCTATGTATTCTCCACAGCCAAGCCATTCTCCAAACATGTCTCGTAATTTACAAGACGTTAGTATGGTTGATGACGATTTGGCTGCACTTAGGTCACTTAATGTAAGTAGTTCATGCTTTTCAATTGGTAATTTTTTAAAGTATATGTATAAGATGTTAGTTGTCCTAATAGGAAGGTGAATTGTCTGCTGACTTATACAATTTCCACGAGGCAGTATCTCAACTACAAGAACAAGAAGATGAAATGCTTGATAAACATAAATCATTATTAGAAGCTGGGCAAAAGTGGTTACAAAAAGACAAACAATTGTTGGCAATGACTAAAAATGTTGACTACGATCAAGATGGTAACAGAGATCAAAAAACCAGTTTATTTGTTGCTCTCCAACTTTCTGCTTTGCCTATTGCTTATGCTTTATTTTTTATTTTTATACTCCCAATGTTAGGAAAATCTTAACAATTAGTACAGTACATTTTAAAGAAAAAAAATAGGAATTTAATATTTTTAAATTTATTGATTAGAATTTTATTATTCTTTCTCATACTTGATCAGTATTATTTGTTTCTTGTTAGTTATTTAGCATGATTTTACATTGCATTTATTTTAATATTGTTGATCATCGTTTAGTTATTTACTCAAATATTTATTATGAAAGTGTCTCATAGTTATAATTTTACTTCCTTTTTCATAAAATCTTATAAATAAAATGTATTAATTCATTTTAACTTAAGAAACAGATATTTTTTTCAACTCTTCATTTAAATATTTAAATTCTAAGGATAATATTTATTTTGATTATTATGATTTTATGAATTTTTCCAATTTACATGTGTTAATTAATTTAGAAGAACTATTCAGATTTTTTTTTTTTTTTAAAAAAGATATCTCTTTCATATAACAAAATAATAATTCATATCAAAAATTAAACTTAGTTTTACCATTTAATATACATAATAATTGTGTTATGTTACCTGTGTCCAGAAGGAAAATAATTATTTATAACTAATAGAGAGTTAAGTTTGTTTGAAATAAATTTTTGGGTTTCTGCTGTAATATTTTTTGTTTAACTGATAGCTATAGTAAGGAGTGCAGTTTTTATTATGATTATTAACAATAAAGTATTAAATATTTTAAAATTTATCCATCTAATTTTTTACCAAAACTTATTGCTCAGTAACTATATTATACTTATTTATATCATTAATATATATATATTAAGGTAAAGCAATTATAGAAATAATACTAAATATGAATTTATATAATTATAAATAAAAAAAAATTATATATCAATGGGATTTTAGTCTTGTTTTTTTAATGTTTGTAATTTTTACTTTTTTCTTTTACTGTTATGTTTCGCAAAACAAAAATTTTTGTTGAACCCAGTATTATTTTGTTTATTTATATAATGTACAATAAGTAGTAATAGTAATTATTTTTTAAAAAAAACTCCTTTGTTACAGTTTAACTAAACCATAAGTTTGCTTTTGAATAGATGATTCTCTTGATATTGTGTTATTTTTTGTGTTTACAACTATCATTATGAAATGTCATAACTATCATAGTAAATATTTGTTGTATTCTAAATTGTATTATTTTTCTAGCATACTCGTTGCAGTTGCTTAATTTGCTTCAAGACAAATTAGCATCCACTCAAGATTTGGTTGAAACCGTACTTGCATTCAGAAAGCAGTTGACAACTGAGGAACAATTCAGTCAGAATATAAATAGAGGCGGCCATCGTTAAAGAAAACATTTTATTTGTTTATATTTCAATGTAAGATTTAGTTCTTTTTTAAGTCTATATTTTGTAATATAAATGTGATGAAATGGAAAAAAGAGGAAAAAAAATTGCGTTTCTATCATATTTATATTAATGATATTAAATGTGATTTTTTTCTGGTGATGCAACTATTAACGGCCTATTACAAACATTATTTTTAACAATGTTTATCAATTTATACCTACTTAATAATTTACTTCATTGCTTTAAGTTTTAACCTCATAAACTAAAATCTTTTTATTGTTTTAAGCATCTTAAAATTATTTTTCTAACTTAAAAAATCTTTAGTTTTTTTTTTTTTTTAACAAGCATTTATTGATGTTTTTTTCTTTATTATAAATTCATATATTAATCTAATGTTTATTATAGTCAGTTGATTTTTTTTCCATTATTTTTATTTAAACATAAAATTTGTAGGAAATATTAAATAGTAAAAAAAAAAGATCACAAAACACTATATTTCAAATGTGTTTTTGTTAAACAATAATTACATATAATAAGAAATTATTACTACTTTTTCTATTGTTTTATTTGCTTAGTTGTTCAGGCTTAAATGTTGAAATGTAACTATTTTTTTAACATTAATTTTTATTTAAATCCTATGTTACATTTATTAATATGATTAAGAGTATAATTTTTTTAAAATAAAACTTTCTTGAGTTTTCATTTTACTAATTTTCCTGTTTTTGCATTGTACTATCCTATCTCTATATGGTAGTCAAGTAATTAAATATTACTCACAGCCTATGCAATATGTGCCTTTTACTGTTTTTTTATATATATTTTTTTTATATATATATTTATGTAAATTAAAATAATTCGTTAATATTGTGATATATTATGTCTATTTTTTATTATTTTTTTATTGGTGATTATCAATACATTTTGTTATAGTTGTAAAATGTAGTGAAAGAAATTACATTTAGTTTTGGTATTCTGTCAGATTGGTGAGCCTAAAATTAAATCTGTAAAAATACTAACATTAAAAATTTAATATACCTCTTGTACTGATTTTGCTTTAAAATGGCAAAAATGTTTTTTTTTTTTTTAATACACTTCTATAGTAATCAAAAATATGAATGTTATATTTGTTTTTGTAATATACATTCTTTTGATTAATTGTAATGTTTTCAATCAAATACTTACATATTTATAATGAACACAAAAATTACTAAGAAATTAAAACTTTTTGAAAACTTGTTTAATCAATATAATTCACTAGACTATAAAATCTGCATCATCATGTTATAGATTTAATTTTTCAAGTATGTACTTCCAAAAAATATTTATGAAGATTGACAACTATGTCAATATTGTAGTGAATATTTGAAATAATTTAGGTAGATACATAAAAGAAATGAGGACCCGAGATTAAAAAAGTTTTAACACAGTTAAAAAATTCAAATTATATCATTGCCTGTTCTACAATATTTACAATATATCTTCTGACAAAGCAAAAGACAAACAATATAATTGTTATTTAAAATATGATATTCTTTATTTAATTTACATATATTAAGCCAAGAATTGTAATATTTCACTAATATTAATTAATTAATACTCTTACTCCTTGTGGGTTATTGAAAGAATAGAAATTTCCCCAACGTTTGTTAATTGATATTTATTTAAAGTGTAATAACAATGTTAAATAAAATAATTGCGTATACTTACACTCAAATGTGTTGGACCGGTGGTTTTTAAGCTGTGCGTTACGGCTTCAGGGTTATCGTTGGTTATTATCAAAGAAGCCATGTTCGTAGTAAAAACTAAAAATAAAATTGTAATATAATGGTAAATATAGTTTTTGTTATCTTTTTTTTTTTTTTTGAGACTGTTTAGTCTGCGCACCAATACAAGTGGTGTGTGAGACATCTACCGGCGATAACCATGAATTAGGTTACCCAATTTCGGTATATCTATGTGTGCGATATTGAATAATGGCATGCTTCAATTAATATTTACATGATTTGCCGCTAATCTATCAGTTGCATAATGTACACCGTGGCGTATTTTACTTAATTGTATGTCGGGGGGGGAGTGGTACTAAATTTACGAGCATTATACACTAGTTAAGTACAATATTTTTTTCATATATGCTTATGTTCTTAAATACATACCTATTGGTGCATTTTATACTTGCATCTTTTATACATTTTGCATATCTTGAGAAAGGTAAATAATATACAATAAAGCTAAAATTTAAATATCATATTTCTTAACATAAATTTATAATATATACAAATAACTGGAACAATCGCCACCCCCCCTCTTCAAATACGTCACTGAACGCACATCGCTTTGTATTCAGTGAGTTAAATACGCTATTGAACAGTATTTTTCTGTGTTTTTTATACTTGCTAAAATAAAGTGTTAAAAAAGGAAAAAAACCTACTTTCTGCCAGGGGCCTGCTATTGTTTGATATCCGTTGTGGGCCATGGCCCTCTCTGCCTCCCCTTAATCCGAGCTAGGTTATAACTATGGATAAGTTTTTGAATTCTAATAGAAAACGTGGTTGTTCAGAAGTATCAAATATTGAAAAGAAAAAACAGATATTCAAAAAATATAACGATAGTTATTTGAATTTCAGATTTGCTAGCACTGTTGTTGAAAACGTAGAACATCCTCAGTGTGTTATTTGTTAGAAGGTAATGGCTTTAGAAAGTATGCTTGTAAATAAAATGAAACGCCATTTGGATACAAATCATTAAAATTTGGTGAACAAACCACGTGATTATTTCGCATCAAAGTTAAAAGCAATGGCTCAACAAAAACAAGCTACAATTCCTTCTAAAGCATTAATTTCTTGCAATAAAGTAGCTTGGTGAATAGCAAAGAGTACAAATTCTCATACTATCGCAGAAAATGTAATTTTACCAGCTGCTATGGATATGGTGTCCATTATGATTGGGAATGCTGCTGCCAAACAACTAAAAAATATACCATTATCGGATAGATAACACTATTAGTCGTAGAATACAAGATATGGCTGAAGATATTAATGACCAATTAATTGAAAAAATTGAAGGAAATGACTTCGCCATTCAACTGGATGAAACAACTGACAGTTATAATGATGCCCATCTTATTTGTTATGTGAGGTTCGTAGTAAGTGACGTGCTTCATGAAGATTTACTTTTTTGTATAACTATTGTCGGTAAAAAAAAAAAGTAGCAGATTTATTTAATATATTAGATTTTTACATAATTGAAATTAACATTGTCTGGGATAGATTTTTTGGTGTGTTGCACCGATGAATCTTATCAGGTTGTTATAATAGTTTACAGGCACTCGTTAAAAATAAAGCCCCTTATGCTTTATGGACGCATTGTATTATTCACAGAGAAGCTCTCGCTTCCAAAATTATTAGTCCAAGTCTTAATTAAATCTTGCTATCTGTTATTGAAATATTTAATTTCATTAAAATTCTACCTATTAAGTCTCGGTGTTTTGGTAAAATATGTAAAGACATAGGAACTGAGCATACCTCTCTTTTGTACTATTGCAACTCCAGTTGATTTTCACGAGGAAATGTGTCGAGAAGAGTATTTGAACTTCGAAAAGAAATTAATTTTCTTGAAAAAAAAACATTTTGAAAAATTTAAAAATGAAATATTTTTAATAAAACTATCGTACTTAAGTGATATTTTTGAAAAACTCAATGTAATAAATGTATCTGTACAAGGTAATGAGACCTACTGTTGACTGAAAAAATGATTTCTTTTAAAAAGAAATTAGTTTTGTAGAAGAATAAATTGGACGAAGATGCTTTAAATGACTGTTTAACCATATGTATATATGTTCCTTAATGAAAATAATTTAAACTTGATAGAATCTGTCAAATTATTATTCATGGAACACTTATCTCAACTTATTGTTCATTTCTAAAATTATTTTCTCGAGAATGATTAACAACAAAATTGGATTAAAGATCCTTTTATTACTGATCTACCACCAGAAAATTTCTGGACAAGATCAAATGATAGACTCATCCCTAGATACAGTGACAAAATCCAAATTTGCATCATCTTTATCAGAATTTTGGATAGCTATGAAGAAGCAGTGTCCAATCGTAGCCAATAAAGCTATCAGGACTTTGATTCCAATAGCTTCTTCATACTTATGTGAAACGGGTTTTTCGGCCTTAGCAGTTATTAAAACTAAATATAGAGCAAGACTGAATACCGAAAAGGTAATGAGAATCACGCCTTCAATTATTTACGCCACTATTTTATAATATTATCCAATAAAAACAAGCACAACCATCCCATTAAATATTAAAATTATTATTGTATTCATTTTTTAACTGTAAAAAAAATTAATCTTAAAACAAATGTTTCCTATTATTAATAATTACATCTTTATCGTTAAATAAAGTTACATTAAAATGATTAAATAATGTAAATTTGTTTATATTAAATGAATGGGAGCTGTATATTTTATTTCAAAATCAAAAGAGCCATGGAACCAAAAAGGTTGACAACCACCGTGTTAAACTATTATTTAAGAAATTCTGAACCTTACATTTAAATGAAAAATTACACAAACCTAGAAAATGAAAAATAATTTCAATTTATATTAGTAATTATTTTATTTAATAAAACACATGTTTTATGCTTACAAAGTAGTATTATAACAACAGCTAATCTAAGAGGACGGAATCAATTTTAACAAACCATATTTCAAGTACAAATATTAAATTAAAGTAAGTAAATAATAAATAATAATACAATTAACTATATCTACAGTAGCATAATACTTAAGAGATTACAGCCAATTTCTAGACATGAATTTCATTTAGACTTAAAATTATTAGTTTTAATGTACATCATAAAAATTAAAAATAATACTTTTGAAAAGTCATATTAAATTTATATTCATTAAGTAAAAATTATAATAAATTAAACAACAATAAATACTGTACAATAAATAAAACCTTAAACCACATATTTTTGGATCTATACAGCTTGTAAATGTATTTTTATCTATAAAAGTATTTTCCTTTTTATTCTTTTTGATTTCAACTTATTTTATACTCCAAGCTCAATAAGATAAAATAATTAGATAAAATATTGAAAAAATGTTTAATGCAATAATTATAATAGACAGAATTCTACTAAATGAATTTCTATTATTTTGTAATCTATTGAAAATAAATTGTGATATCATTATTTTTTTGATAAATTTAAACTACGGATAACTTATACTTTAAAGCGATAAAAGCACATATTTTTAATACAATATATACTATAGTGATAAAGCTGACATTTATCCAATACAAATTTTCGTACATATCAATAGTTTTAAGCATTACTTTCGGTGAACCATACTGACAAAACATCTATAAGTAAATAAATAAAAAAAAATATTAATACATTCAGTAAAAAATAAGTTCTTCATATTATTAATCTTAATATTCAAAATGGTTTATGGTTTAATTTCTAAATAAATGTACACATAATAATAAATATAAAATATAATGTAATTTAGAAGAAACATATGAAATACAAATTAAAGCAATGAAAGTGAAAGTTTCATATTCCAATATTTTTATATTATTATACCGATATACAGAATACAAGAAATATACATAGAAAGTGCTGGGACTTAAAAGCTAACTGAGCTATTCAATTTTTTAATACCAATAGTTTTGATTTTGTCTACATTTTTTTTTTAATCTACAGATTGGTTTACAACTTCAATTCTCCATTCTGATCAACTGCTTACCTTTTCTTTAAGCTCCTTAAAGGTCATCACATTTAATTTGTCCTACATAAGAGTTCCAAGTTCATCCAGCTGTTTTTTTATCTTCTATCATATCCTCTAATACTATATTAAATAGTTCTTTTGAGTATATTAGGGCAATGATTAACTAATTTCCAATGTTTTACTCTAATTGTATCTATGAATGTATGTGGAAGAAAATTCCACAATCTAAGTATTTAATTTATTTTCCATTCTATCCAGTTTAGCCTTTCCATATATTTCCAGCATCACAGCTCAAAAACTTCTAGATTTTTTTCAGTATCATTTATTACCCATGTCTCACATCATCATATGATGTGATGTCTAATATGAAATTAAAATCAATACTTATGCGTTTAAGTTCTTACTTCTTTCCCCCAAACTTCTAACCTATATTTATATTTTTTATTAAACATATACTTCAAATGAATTTTTATCAGGCAACTAATTGTAATAAAAATATAATACACTACTTACAACCGGACAAGGCAACACAGTGCGATCAAAACCATATATTGAATGTAGTACACCTTGCACAGAATGTTTCATAAATGAAATATCATATAACCACCGATATATTTTAGGCGTATCTGATATTCTTATCATACCACCAGCATAAGTAGTCCAAAACATTAATATCAAAGCAACTATAACTGTGTTGATCTAGATCAAAATATGTATTTTAAATATTTATTACAATTTATCAAGTGAGGATTTTCTTAAAACTTACAACAAAACTCTTACACAAAGTACTGACTAACATTCCAATTGCTTGTGACATAAGTCCAGTCACAATGAATATCAATAGAAACATTGAGATTCTAAAGAGTTCAAAAGGCTGGCCAGATAACAAGTATATCAGTGAACAAAATAGGAACGTACAGAATATCTGTAATAAATGTTAAGTTATTAATAAGAATAAAATTATTGTTTAATACTATTTTTTATTTACTTGAACTGGTAGATCTACAAGTGTCACAGATATGTAGTATAAACTTAATGAATACCATCGGTTGAAATACTCTTTTCGCATTACCGATAATTCCAATGGAACTAAAGAATTTATATTATAAAATTAATAAGTCATATAGATAAACTAATAAAATAAATGAACTATCAAAACTTGTTTAAAAATCCCTAAAAAACTGGTTAAATGGTAAATAATAGAAATATTTAAAATAAGTAAGATTACCTATTTTGAATTTTAGTATTCAAAACTTTAAAAAAAATTCAAAGTTAATACAATTTATTTTAATAAATGTAAGTATATTTTATTGCATGGATCAAATGTAAAAACTAATAGTTTGCCCAAGAAGATTTACATTTGTGTATAGTAATGAGAATAAATATTTAGCAAGAAATATATAACATCTAAAAATGATTGTTATCAAATTCCAATTATAAATACTAACTATACTTCACTAAATTGTTTCAAACATATAATTTTTAATATTTTTTGTATTTATACAAACATTTTATAGACATGGTAAATGCAGCAACATATGTCATAAACATCACACAGAAAAATAGTAACACTGCATTATCTCGAACATGCATAGCGCTTTTCCCAAGTCCAATGTAAACAATTCCAAACATGCTACCCAGCAAGAAATGAACAAAAAGTCTTACCTTGACTAGAAACTTAAAAAACAAATCATTGAAAAAATAAACTCATTTTGAAGATATTAGATATAATTTACTTACATGATCCCTAAAAGTAGTGAGCAAAGTTCTATGCATAAGTATCCAAAGTTCAGAAAAATATTTTGATGAATATTCTCGACTATATATTATAGGTACATTGTTAATACTCTTATCTAAAAAAAATGCAATATAATTATTGCTTTTGATATGCAACAATATAATTAAAGTGAATTAAATTAATCATGAAGTTATTACCAGTTATGTCTTTACTAATCAGGTTTTGATCAATAACAAGCTTAATCAGAGTATCTATAGAATTTCCATATTCACCCAAACTTAATTCAATCACTGGATACACCAAACCAATAAATTTAATTATTTTCGTATTTCATTTAAGCACAGCTTTACAAACCAAAATCAGCAGGATTGTGATAAATTGGACATTGAAATCCAAGATGTGAAAAATAGTCAACTATTTGCGATGATTCTCCATTGTACATACATTGACCAGAAGGAGTAAGAACATAAACAGTGTCAAAAGTAGTCAAGTGATAAGCTGAAGCTTGATGAATAGTGCATATTATGGTTTTTCCAGAGTCTGCCAATTTTCGCATAATTTTAACAACATTGTTTGCAGACACAATATCTAGACCTCTGCTCAAATAAAAATAAATATTAAATCAATTAATACAACTATAGATTTAATTTGAAGTAGATAAGTATATTACGTGGTAGGTTCATCAAAAAACATAACTTTTGGGCTGCGAACTAATTCTAAAGCCATGGTCAATCGTCGACATTCACCACCAGATAAATTATAAACTAAAGTATCTCGTTTTTCATGTAAAAGTAAATTATGTAATAAATTGTTAATCTGAAAAAAATGCAAACTTTATATTTTCAGTATAAACAACTATGAATTAAATTGATTATGTGTTAGTAATTATTGTTAGCTCACAGAGATTTTATTTTGAATATCTAACTTAATGGTTGAATGTTTAAGTTTCATAGCTATTTCCATGGATTCTTGAACAGTCAAATACAATTGTAAATGATCTTCTTGCATGATATAGCTAGAAATATTCCTAAATGATAGCAAATCTCGCTGTGCTCCATTTAAAGTTACAGTTCCCTGGTAACCACTTGACCTAGATAGTTGAAAATATCATAAACTAAAATATGGTACTATTTCATATATCTAAAAATGAATACTCAGAACATAACAATAACTATAAATTCCAAAAGCAATTAAAGGATGAGTAATCATCATTTACATAAACATCAATACATAAATTTCAACTTTTAATGCATTTGAAGTAACAATGAAAATATAAGTATTCTGTTTAAAAATAATTTCTAAAAAATATAATTAAATCACTCACATATAACCCGATAAAATGTTCATAAGGGTTGATTTTCCAGAACCTGAACATCCTACTATGGCCCCCACTTGGTTTCTGCGGAACAAACCACTGACATTGTTTAAAATGGTTTTTTTCTCTGAAACCAATATAAATTTTTACACCAAATTAGCCAGGCTAGGCATAGATAGGTACTCACCAGGCCTAAAGGTCTTCATCGCCCTAGAATCCCAAATATTCACGTTTGAAGATATGTTTGTAAACTCCACATTGATACCTTCCATCTCTACGGATTTATAAAGATTTTACGGGTCTTAGTACAGACTGTTTGCATGAGGACTGAGTGCTAGACCTCAATTATGCTTCAGGCAGATGTGAACAACAAATAAATAACATCATTAAAATACAATAATGTAAGGCTTTCAAATGCTTGGTATTTTAATAGTGTTTGAACAACTGCAAGAACCGCAAGACATTTATTATGAGCATGAACTTACCTACCCCACCATAATGGTCATAACACGGGATGCCCTTGAAAACGTGCACATTCGAAAAGACCAATCAATGTAATTATTAAATATCAAAACGATTTTCGTCTGCGCATAATAACGCAACGCTTCGGAGACCCAATCAAAACCACACACGCCAAAGTCAGTCAACGTAAGCTAATTGATCGAAGCCACCGCTATGCTGTCGATCCGTCAGCAAAACAATTAAGTTAATTACAGCATAAATAAACACGATTATTCAACAGGTAGGACTTGCATTTGAATTGTGTACGTAAATATGTAATGCACAGAGTCTTTAATGTAATGGTGGAAGAAGCATTATGTAACGCACAGTTTACAGTATACACTGACCGATGGTCAGATACCGTAAAATTTGGATAATGTTATCCGCGTTTCTGTGTAAGATTATCACAACAACAACCGCAGCTGATTCGTGTGTATCACGATTCGAGAATCAAGATAACAATGAAATGAGTGAGCATACTGTCCCAGATTACAAGAAACAATCAGTGGTCACTGCCCCAATTAAACTACCTACTCTATGCCTGCATGTAAATAAAAATCTTTTTTGCCCCATTCATAATACGAGTATATTTTTGTGCATTTGACCTTTTAGGCCTCAATAATATAGTATGTGACCCCGGGGCCTGTTTGCAATGCATACTCTGCACACTCGGTGTTTACGGCACTGCACTGTGGTACTGTCATGAAATATTATTAGACTCTCAATCGTGGGTTGATGGCCAGGTCCAGGAGCGGATTGGCAATTATTTTCGGCCCAGGAAATATGAAACAAACCGGCCCATGAACCGCAAATTAAACTATTTTACCCCTCTCCCACCTAAAAAAAATGCTTTATTTTACATCAATTTCAAAATTTGTTTAGTTTCATCCCTAAATTAGTAAAATCTACAATAACTTTAATATAATTATAGCTATAATAGTTTTGGGTAAGTTACATGATTAATCAGTTCTAACTTGAACTTGAAGTTTGATCTTAACGCATCTTTAAATATATATTTATTTTTTTAATGATTTTTATTTATTTTACAAAGTAAAACTTTTTTTTGGGAATTATATAATAATATAGAGTGGCCCAAATAAGGACCGACCCATCGGGAAGATTCCCGATTTCCCGATAGGCCAATTGGCCCCTAGTCAGGTGTCATCTGGTTTTATCAGTACATGCATTACCTGAATATTTTGGTTTTGGTACCACCATAGAGTATTACTCTATGGGTACCACCATTGATTATAGAATAGAATAAAATCTATTCTATAATCAATGGTACCACTAACCTAGACCAAAATTAAACTTTCGAGATGGAACCGCATGGACTTAACCGAAGGCTTGAGCATTTCGAGATACCGATGGATAATAAGAACAAAAATTATTCAATATCGTTAGTCCATTTCGATTAAATGATTTTCATAGATATTTTTCCAATTTGTCTAGTTTAAAGTCTATGTTTTCGTATGGACATTTGAAACCGGAAAAATCAAATGTCTGTACACCTGCTGGTTATACGGTTACCTGTCTTGGACACGTTTAAATTTAGTTTATTTTATGAATAGACGACATAACGAATTGAAAACTATGTATTCTTGAACTCAAGGCCGAAGTGGAGGCAAAAGATACTTACGCCCCGAGCGCAAAGTGAACAATTTGCACTTTATGATAAAAATTGCAACGCTCAATGTTGCAACTGTCTAATAAAGAGTCATACGTTTATTCTGGATGTCACATATTTAAGTATTTAATATGAGTTATCCTTTTCTTCTGATAAAACTTAAAAAAAAATAAGTCTTCCTACATATACTATTACATAGGTCATGTATATAGATGAACATTATAAAATAATTAGAATTTAACGTAATAATCACAAAGTTTTTAAAAACCTTTATTTTACAACTAACAATACATAAAGTTATTTTCAATTTACAATATAAATACATTTATTAAATTAATTATACAAATGGATAAATATAACTAACTAAAAAGCGAAATGTTATGACCCGGATTCGCAAGTTCATGCCCTAAAAAATACTAAATATGCATTTATGTATATTTTATTTTTGTACACAAAATATTCATTTGCACGAAATTTTATAAAATTATAAATATATAAAAAGCAAAGTAATAAAAATAAATCTGGTTTTTAAATTTTAATTATAATTTAAAAATAATAATAATAAAATATCATTAAAAATTTTTCTTGAATAAAAAAAATGCACTTGTAGAATGTTCAATAATCATTGAGTTATTTTCCTATAAAAATATTTATCATTGTATTTTGATAGAAGCTGCTCCTATTTGATATTTGTATAATATTTTATTTTAGATGAAGTTAGCTGTAGTTATAATTTATAAATATATATATAATATGATAACAACAGGTACTTTTTTGTATTTCCTTCAGTTTTTTAATTTATTAACTCGAAAAATAAATAGAAATTTAAAAATTTAAACATGGGCCCTAAAAGCCAATGCATTCTGTCCCAGTCAAGATAGCTATATTCATTGACGTGGTTATAAGATTGTGCACGGAGAGAGCTGAGTGTGTCCTCCACACGTTCCCAAAATGTTGTACATGGGACTCTACAATTTAAGTTTAAGTATAAAACGTCCGTATTTCAATTGATGATACTCAAATTAAAAGTAATTTATTTAAAAATATTTAATAAAAAATAAATGATCTTTCGTAATAGAAAAAATAAAACTATTTATCATTTTCTAAATTTTCGTGCAAAAACTTATGATAGGTAATATAACAGCTACAATTGGCTACAAAAGTGCAATTAATAAATAATTTAAGCTATCTGATAAAAATATACGATATTCAAGTAAAATATATTCATGTTGAATAATATATCTCAATATTTAAAAAAAATTAAATTATATTTACTTAATTATTTATACATTGTAACACAAAGTTAAAAAAATATAAATTTTATACAATATAATTTATTAAATATACCTAAACGTTTTGTTAAGATAGGGCCTAAAAGTATGTAGTTATCTCCTAATATCTGCGGTTGGCGTACGCCAATGGGTCTGGTGAACTACGTTTGCCTAATGTAAGTGCTTAGCCGTAGAAGTCTAATAAAGAGAAGGGTATCTCTTGCCTCGTGTATTTATGAATATATTTTATGTAAATAATTAAATTAATTAGCTAATTAGCAAGATTTATGTTGTATGCAATAATGTTTTATAAGTCAATAGAGTTAATTAATATTTTTAACTATTTTATACTTAAATTTAACAACTAAATTTGAGTGGATAAATGTATAGTTAATAAGTTACATATATATATATATATTATGTGGTAAAATAGGGGGTGAGTCATTGTTTAGATACATGTTATTACATAAGTTATGTATTGAAATATGCTTGCCACGTCACTGAATATAATATGTAATAACTACGATTTTATGATAAACATATTTTAAATTATTATACGGCTAATTAAAATGTGTGATACATACTACCTACTACTTACTACTAATATTAAAAGTACTAATATAGAAGTAATGAATAATGATTATTAAAAAACAGAAAATATTAAAAACTTATCATACATACTTAAGAGTATAAATGTAGTCAGAATGATCCTCGCATAAATCTGGTCGTTACAAATGAGAAGTGTACAATGATAAAATAAGAAGTGAAATATTTGTGTATATATATGTTATAGTTATAATTACTGCATATAGACAATAAGCCGGTTGATAATTTATTTCCGAAGAACGATTCTCCCTACTTTATTGTTAGGTAATAGCTACATAAATATAAAATGTTTAACATAGCACGAATATCAATTTATTGATTAATTTTTATTCAACACAGAACAATTTAGTTGAAATCCTTTGAATCCTATCATAAATTAAAAATAAAAATAAAATTTTAATAATAATACTTTATAGGTGTATTTGGTGCTGACTACGCGTATTAATAAATAAATGTAACTCTTGCATGGAATTATAGTAATTTAGCCGCGCATTTATACCACGGAGAATCGTGTATTGTAGAACTAGGGATGGGCAAAATTGTTTGAACATCGATACATAGATTTTTAAAATATTGGTGAAAAACCATCCATGTAAACATGGATATAAATATGTGCTTAAAAAAACATCAAAAAATTATTTTTACCCTCTAGAGCTGCCTTCTGCTGCACACCTTATCATCTCTAAAGTGTACTATTTTATTTACTTATTTACTTTTTCGAATTTGTTTATAACATCTTAGTATTTTATCAATATTTTTATTTTTTAATGACATTAAATTTTATAAGTTAAAAGCAATACCACGAAACAATGTTATTGTGCACCACTACCACTCTCCTCTTATTAACGTGTCCATTGTAATCTATTTTAATCGCAACGTGTGTTCATTAATTATAATTTTAATAAAATGTAACCAAAGAAAAAATATAAATGGATAATTCTGATTATTTTAAAAAATCCTTATACGTTTTTTTTCGTGCATAGTTAAGGATTTTTAATGCATATTTGATCAAATGTTAGTGCATGAACTTACGAGCTCTGATTATAACTGTATAACAATTTGTGTATTGTATACTACATACTAAAATATTACAAAAAAAAATTCAAATTTTTCGAACATAAACATCAATATTTAAGTTCGAACATAAACATTGATGTTTAATCAGTTAATAAAAAAAAATCGTCGATGTTGAAACATCGATATATCGATCCAAAACATGTTTTTTGCCCATCCCTAGTAGAAACGATGCAAGTTCAAAAGCTCTACGTGCACTCTCTTTGGCCAATATGTCATTTATTTTCTTCTAAATGGTGTATCTTGCCGAGTTCAACCCATTTGATCCATAGTTTTTTATATTGTTTTCATCAAATTACTTTTTATTGGTATAAAGTAGAACCTTGATTATGCGAACGTTATTTCGTTTCAATTCATGTATCCGAACGTTAATGCGTAATATATCGTTTGAAATTGTTAACCGCTTCTTATTTGAAAATTCAAGGTGAGAACGAAGAAAGTGACGACAGCATTCGCGACGAAATTAAGAATACACACGGACTATCACCTACCGAGGCATTTGCTGCATTTGAGACGGGTCTTGTATTTAGATACATAGGATGAATGTTGACCAGCACAATCACTTCTATTAAAACGTTTGCGAAATTTAGTTGCGCAAAAGTGCGTAGCAGCAATTCGTCTATCAAAAAATGATCAATTTGTCAAAGAATAATCAGGCCCGTATTTAAAATTTGGCGCCCTTGGGCATATAAGTTATGCCCTCCCCCCAAAATAAATAATAATAATATAACACTTATTATTTCGTCCATAATCGAGATTCTATAATATTAAAATATAATTTATAAATGAAAATCGTTTAATACTTTTTTGAACTAATAAATTATATTATAATAAAAATACAATTTTTTTCTTTAATTTACAAATTATATATATAACATAATATAACATACTATTTTTTTTCTCATTAGGTATATCAGTTTTAAAATTACTTTTTCTAAAATATTTTGCCGCCCCCCGGGCATGTGCCTACCTGTGCTCCCCCTAAATACGGGTCTGAGAATAATAAGACATTATAATATTTAATAATATTCTAATATTCGTAATAATAACATAATATGTAATAAGTAATAATAAGTATAATAAGTCAATTATATGTAATAATAATTTTATATTTATTTAAATAATATATTTTTTTAATTTCTATTATCCAAACCCTGCATGGTCGCAATTAGTTTGGATAATCGAGGTTCTACTGTACATTGTTTCTCAAAGAGGTGGTTAATTTATGCAGTTTAATATAACAACTAATATTCACCACAATAAGAATATCATAGCGAACAAAATTATCAAACAGTATAGTTTAAATTTCAACAAAAGTATTTTATTTTATTTCACTGTTGATGTTGACTAGTCTAATAATTCAGTTTACAGTTACCAAAGATTTAACTAAGATACACCAATTTGTTATTTGGAATAGTTAAGTATTTAATATGTTATTCTATAGTAAATCTTTTTGTTTTTTTTTTCAACCCATACACAGGGAACATATAGGTTATAGGTTGGTATACAACTAATCTTCTCCATTCTTCATGGTCTATCACCATTTCTTTTAATTTAATAAATCATGTATTTTATTAATTTTGTACCATCAGAAATTTAAAATGTTGATCTCAAGTTTTATTATGAGTTTAAGAGTTACTTACTAATACTTTAGACAACTGCCAATAGAATTAACCAATTAATTTTAAAAGAAAACAATTACAAATAATAATACCACAAAATAGTAAAAAATTAATTTTATTCAAATAATAATAAAAGAAAATTAATTGCAAACTTTGTTAATATAATAATAATACGTCGAATAATTTGACATAAGATTAGTAATAATATTAATAGTGTTTACATAGATTAGATTTTAGGAATTTGTGAAAAAAGTTGAATAAATATAAAACTATTCTTTCATAGACTCTTCAGTAGGTTGTGCTGTTGCTTTTGGCTGTCCTTCATCACCCTTCTTCTTGGTACCAGACACAATATCATCAATACGTACTAATAGTATAGCCGTTTCAATAGCAGTTTTATATACTTGGGACTTGACTACAATTGGTTCCCATACTTTAAGATCCTTCATATTGGCTATTTCACCAGTCTCACCATTAATTCCCCAAGTTTCATTACCACTTACTGCATGTTTGGCTCTTAAAGATGTCATTGTTCTAATAGTACTGACACCACAATTTTGCAAAAGTGTACGTGGAATAACTTCTAATGCTTGAGCTACAGCTTTGTATGGCCATTGAGTAACGCCAGCTATTTCAGAACTTTTCTTAACTAAAGCCTGTGATATAGCCATTTCAATAGAACCACCGCCTGATACCAATTTAGGGTTCAACATAATGTTTTTAGCTACATGTAAAGCATCTTGTAAATTACGTTCAACTTCATTCAATATGTCCTTGCTTGGTCCCCTAAGCAAAATAGTGCAAGCCTTTGGATTAGCACATTCAGTAATGAAAGTGAAATATTCATCACCAATTTTTTTAATTTCAAACAATCCAGCACCAGTACCAACATGACTTTCACGTAATTCATCTGTACGTGTGACAATAGTGGCATTGCAAGCTCTTGCAACACGATTATTGTCAGATTTTCTTAAACGTCTCAATACAGATATATTGGCTTTTAATAAGAAATGCTGTGCCAAATCAGAAACTCCTTTTTCAGTACAAACCAAGTCTGGTTTTAATGCAATAATATCAGAACATATTTGCTGAATATATTCTTCTTCAATCTGTAATAACCTAGTAAAATCAGTTTCCTTGACAATTTCAACTTCTGTTTGACTTTCTCCTTTTTTGAACTCCAAAGAACAGTCCAAAAGAATAATTCTAGGATTTTTTATCAATCTTCTCATTTTTGGATGAGTAACATCTTTGTTCAACATGATACCATTTAACACCTGAGAATCTTCAATCGCACCACCAGGAACCTTTTCAACTTTGGCATACCGTTTAATATCAATTTCTGTACGACCTTCATCTCGAATACTAACAGTTTTAACAGCATTCAAGGCAATACTACATGCCAAATCTGACCAGCGTCCAATAAACTTTGTCCCAACACAGGATTTTATCACTTCAATTAGTTTAGGCTCATCATCCAAGGATAATGGAGTGCTAAAATCTTTATCTAAAATGTTCAACATGTCCTCTAAAGCTTGACGATACGCTCTAATTATAACAGTGGGATGAATTTTTTGCTCTAAAAATTGTTCTGCGATTCCAAGTATTTCACCAGCGAGTACTACAACTGATGTTGTACCATCACCTACTTCTTCGTCTTGAGTGCGAGCAATTTCAATAAATGATTTAGCGGCAGGATGTTGAACTGTAATTTCTCGTAGAATAGCATTACCATCATTTGTCATCACAATACCACCCATTGGGTCCATTAACATTTTAAGCATAGCTCTAGGTCCAATACATGTACGTACTACATCAGCAATAGCTTTACCTAAAATAAAAATAGAACAATTTTTATAAATATTCAATATGGCATTTAAAACAGATTAAGAAAACCAACATTCTAAAATAAAAGTTTTATAACTTCACTATACTTCAATATTTTTCGAAATAATAGATAATTTATTACTTAATGTCAAACTTATATAATAATACCTTTAGGTATGTAACTTAATATAAAATATAAATTACAACATAAGAATAATTGTTATATTGGTAAAGTTTAATTAAATAACTTCTTAATAATTTTTATACTTACTTGTATATTTTTTAAATGATTTAGAAGGGATTGAAGTAGGTGTACATATGTCATATAAAATTAAGCTATGATAGCTTAAATATATAACTTAAAATAATAATGGAGAGTTTAATTTAAGCTAACAAGGTAAGTTAATAGATTAAAATTGATATCATTGATTAATATAGAACCTAATATTTTCCTTTTCAGATTTATCCTTTTTTTTAAAAAGCATACTGATGTGTTGGATCTATTGCAGGTTACATTTCCGGAGTATAAGTAATAAGTGTTTTCTGTTGTAAACATAATGATAGCTTTACTTGTTTCCAACCAGTATTTATACGAATGGCTCCATTCTTGTTACATGTAGATAGAGTGTATTAAGGTTAGGGCTAATCCGTAGAAATACATAAGAAAACAAGTAAAGCAATCATTAAGTCCACAACAGTAAATTATAGAAGAGCTACATTAGTAGTACAAACGTACTAACATAATTTGTGATAAATTTTGTTATCCACGATGGTGGCAAATTTAAAAAAGATTTATTACTTAGTAGTATCACTTGAAAGATGATAATATAAAACTTAGGCGGGGTTTTAGAAGTACCTATTTTGATTATTTTTTTTTTAAACCATTCTAAGTTATTGGAGGAAATTATACTTTAAAGTACAAGGAAAATATCCTTTATAATATAGACATTTCTAAAATCAACAAATAACAATAAAAAATAATTTATACATAAACTGAAGAAAAAAATTTGAATCTTGAATCTAAATTAAATGTAAAGCAATAATAATTGTTGTATAAAATTACTATCGCAAAAATAATTATAATTTTAAAGAGAACAATAAATAATTTTTTCAATTTTTTAAGAGAGTGATAGATGGATTAATTTTCATTAATGTTACATATGTATGTGACTACAAGTATTACTCTCACATTGCATTAAGTGTTATCAATGTATCAACATAAAAATAATAATTTTGACATTTTCTAAATGACTAATAAATTATAAAATACAGTTAATAAAAACTCACTGAAGAACTGTAGTAAATACATACTTAACAGAACTATTAGATAACATGAAAGTGTGAATTTGATATTTTAACATTGAGAAGTATACAATCTATTACCTGCAGCGATATTTTCTAGCTGGACTTTATGTCCAAACTTCCTTTTGGTGTTGGTGTTTAACACCAGAATCGGAGCACCACTCTGTGACATCATTTTTGTAAAATAATAATAAAAAAATACTTAAAATGATTGAACTTGGCTTTAGGATCGGTATAGAAAATATATATTATAATCAAATCGTTATTAACACAGTAAACTAGTAAAAAACGAAGGGTTTATTTTACTTGTAATGACAAAAGTAAATTTGTAAGACAACGGCATGTGCTTCTTATCCATATCAATGGTTTTGTCAATTTATCTTGATTCACCGCTGACCGATGTACGAACTATACAGTGTGGGCAATGGCTTTTCACAGCATTTAATTATAATTTTCAACTATTCCCGCCACTTGTCAGTGTTTAAAAGTATTCTCGTTTAAATTATAACTAGCAAATCGCAAATTATACCCATTTAAAATTGGGTAATTAACAACAGTACTTACAGAATGAAAAAAAATTTAAAACTAAAATATGAAATAGGTGTTGAAAAACAAATGTGATAACTATTTTATAAGATTAGGGATCGGAAAACAATCAATTAAAATGATTAAATTTAACTAATCTAACGCAGTATCTTAGACGAGGATAATAATAAAAAAAAATCATAAAAAAAAAAACAATATAAAAATATAAAAAAATGATTTTGCATAAATTAAATTTAATCGTGTAGAAACATCAATGGAGTAGCGAGGGGATATGGGGAATAGATCTTTGATCACATGTTTTTTTCAATTTTTTTTATAGGTAGTGAAGTTGTCTCATTTTCTGTTTTTTTTCAATATGAAAAACTTTTATACATGGCTGCTTTCTTAAAAATAAATGTACTCACAAGTCACAGCTGTTTTACAGGGATTTTCATTCAAGTGGAATGTGAAAGTAAATTTAGAAATGATTCTGAGATGTAAAAAAAATTAAAAACCATTGCTCATATAAGTATATTAAACAAAAATTGTTGTTAATAAGTATAATATATTTGTTAAGTTCAAATCAATAAAAAAAAAGTGCATGGTTTAAGTGTTAAACGATCATACACCATATATAGTATCATATAGTTACCATATATCATATACCTACATAATGTTTAACAGAGGTTGGGTTAACTTAAATATTTCTATTTATTACCATAGATGTGACTAGAAAAATATATTCATTTTTAATTAACTCGTATTTTTTATTCATTATACATAGGTTAGGTACATAGAGCTGTAAAGAATTATTTTAAAAAGTATTTAAGTAAATACTCAAATACATTTTTTCATAAACCTTCGGGCTTTGATTATAGTTGGCAATATTTTTCCAACCAAATATTTTGAATAAAAATAAAATGTTCGAAAAAAAAAAACAAAGTATTCAATACAAATAAGTATTCAATACAAATAAGTATTCAATACAAATAAGTATTCAATAGATAAAAAAGTATTTAAAAAAGTATTTGAATACTTTTATTCAAATACTTTACAGCACTGGTTAAGTACTACCATTGTAGCCTTGAAATCACCCAAACAATACTTTATTCAACATTATTAAGTTCAGTACTATAAGTATAATAACTATGAGTATATAACTATAAGTTTTTTTGTGTCGCGATCAGAGGCGTATTTATGGGGGGGGGGTCCATAAATACCTATTATTTATTAAATTTATCAATTATTATTATTTTCGTTTATAAATTTCAAATGAAATGAGAATAATAAAGTAATATTATTAATATGAAAGAAAAATGTTCTTATATTAGAAAATTAGGAAAGGTATATAACTTAGTGATGGAAACATTTTATTTTATATGAATAATAATATATATCGAATCTTGTTTCAGGTGGATACTGGGTTGTCAAGTTGATACCATATATTTTGATGTAGTAAAAGTCTATACTTGTATGATGTATATGTTTTCAATATTATAGTAGCCTGTAGGTATATGATATTATATAATATTACGTATCATAGACAGGACGCAAATCCAGATGACCGGGGGAGGGGGGCGATTTGTCCTCTTAATTTGGTTGGTGGGTATCCAATTGATCGATAATTGATAGTCAATTTTCAAACACAACAATAAGCATACATCAATATACTTATATTATGTAATTATATTAATTATATATTATGCGAGCCCAGCAATCAGTTTTTTTTTCATAAGTGAGTATTGAATACTTTTGTTTTGTCTCCTCTCTATAATTCTCACCAGTTTGTCCCACTTATTACAGATGTATAAATAATAAATCAAAAAAACCGTTATCTGTACTGGTTTTACTCGTTCTGGATGTAAAGTCGAATCCGTTTAAATATGTTCCCTAATAACACAGATCTTCCCGAGTATCACCACTCTAGTGACCAATTGATACTTAACTTAAATTTCTTGATAGGCTGCATTTCGACCTTCCGGTTACTCTCCGATAAAGCATATTTTAACATATAAACTTCGTGGCACTAGTACCCCTCCCCAGTGAAAATTGAATGCTACCCAGTAATCGGTGATCATGACACTAACCAACACATTCTCATAACGACCGTAGTGACGGTTGATTTTCTCTGTATGTTCTTCTGCAGAAGAACAACATGCCTATGAACTATGATGGTAGATAATTTTATCGAAGTGCCATCCAATGAAAATTACTTAAAATATGTTCTGACACCCCGAGTAGTACTTAATTGATACCTATCAGTAACTTCCCGATGGGATGTATTTTAATCCTCTCAAGATTTACTGAAGATTATTGTTACTATGTATAGGTGCACTAAGAAAGGATTTTTCGAAAATTATATTTTTAAGGGTTGAAGCTAATTTAGACTCTAGGCTAGATGTATATATTTTTTCATTTATAGGTTTCCTAAGGAATATTTAACATTGTTTATAGTGTTGATTTTAATAATTACCGATTGCTTTAAATGGATAGTAAGTATAGTATAAATAAAATAAATAAATATTATTAGAATACACAACAATTGAGAATATTTTTGTAGATCTAAAATTGTATTACCTCTACAAAGTAATTTATGTAATCCAAAATAGTAAAAGCGAGATTGAATATAATTTAACTATTAGGTAGTAACGTTATTCACTATAATAAAATACTATAATAATAAAATAATATTTTTGACTACTGCAATTATTATATATTTAGATGCATAATTAATACATATAATATTGTTTACTACCATGTATGGTATATTAATCAATATCTAATTAGTCATTTAAATTGAAAATTTGTCTTTTTTAAATTTATGTATACACTAATAAATAATAAAGTAAAAATTATATTAAACTATACAAATTATATATAATATGGTATTACGTGGACTTTAAAGAATTATATAAAATATAATTCATAGTGATTTTTAAAGTAAATACAACAATTTTAAATAGAAATACTCTTAAAAGACTATAGGTACCTTACATATAGTTTAATAGATTTTTTTTACGAGAACAAAATTCAACTGAACAATAAACCTTAGTATAGAATTAATTTATGATGAATGTTAATGAGTTTTATGATAGAAAATTAAAAATACTTGGTATTGATAGTTTTTTTATTCCTAGTTTTTGCGAAATAAATAACACGTAGATACCTATAACGATTTATAATTTTTCATAGTTATTTTAAACATAAATTAACTTTGATATTTTTAATTACAATATTGATATGTCAATCGATAATCAATGAATTTATACAATAATTATAAAATTAAAATTTACGATTTTTTGATAAAAAATGTGGACGAAAAATAAAATTAAAATATCTTAATATTAACACATTGTTATAAAATCGTATAACGATTTGTAAAATTTATACACTCCTAAGTTTTATAATTATAATCCACAATAAAACAATATATTTAAAAAACTTAGGATATTTAAAACTTGTACTTTTCACGAAAAAAACATTTTACATATGTACAGATCCTATGATGTTTTGAGTCGATTTATTGTTCGAAGGATCAGCGTTGAGACCAGTCGAATTACTTTCCAAATTATTTCCTTGGTTCGGTGTCATTTCATGATTCTGAGTGTAATAATAAGTGGTACTAAAATTGATATCAATAATGTATTAATGTATTTTGAAAATTTAGTGTGATCTGTACAAATACGGCTTACCCGAAACATCCTAATAATGGAACGGTCAAACATAAACTGATGATGAAAAAAGCACTCGGCATAGTTTCTAGCGTGTAATTGTACACTATATTGTACAGCGGCAAAATAACAATTTTCATTAAATTTTCCGATATCATTTTAATAGAATTCATAGATCCTATAAATATACACACAGACATATTCAGATATTAGTAATAAATATTGATTGTGTTTTTATTAACCAATCGTCATTTGTTTTTAAAATATAATAAAACTAGTTACAGTTGAATTTCCTTTGTATTAAATATTATATAACATATATAGTATTTATTATATGGAATACATTTTCCGATTATATCAATTCATTAAATTTGATAATTACATATAATCGTTATACAATAATTGTTTACCTAATTCATGCGATTCCACACATTTTGAAGCTATAGAACCTGAGATAGCTAATGCCGCACCACGAAAGAATTCAAGTGGAGGTACTGCAAGAGAAAAAATTATAGTTAAAAAATCTATATTTGCTAAAAAAAAAAAAAATCTGTGATAATACAATAAACTATTCGATCAAAACACTGGTGTATATTGAAAAGAGTTTTTAAAGATACTTACTAAATAATAAATATTTAAATTTGCTGACAAAAAGGAATCCAAGAATAGTAGAGATATCGAAAACCGTAGAAATCAAACCAATTAACGAATCGTTCATTCTAAGTCTGCGGCTTAATATTCCAAGGGAGAAAACAGTTCCTATAATATTATAGTTATATATTTGAGATTTAAATGTATATTATGTTTTATACAACGAGCTTATTGAAAATCTTACCCAATAACATAACCACTAAGATGTATCCGTTGAACAAACTGAAATCGATTTCGCTGAAACCAAACCGATTTCTCAAGTACAAATATAGCAAACTTATTTCACCTGAAGAAGAAACAAAAACAGTTTAATAAATAAAAAATACGATATTTATGTCGTGCTGTGTAGCATATGGTTAAATTAGGCTAAGTTAGACTAGGAATTAATATAATAAAATCGAACTATAAAAACACAGCTAGTATACAAATATAGTATTTCATCGTTGATAATTTGTGAATTCATTAAAATCAATATTGTTATTTATATTTGAATGAAAATAACTTTAATTAAGTTTTGTCAGAAGCTTTTTCGTCTCAACTACTGATGCTGATTAATCTCAATATTGCAGTTATGATAATTTTGTTTATTCTCATATAAATGAATAGGACCAATAAAATATATATAACTATATATATATATATAGGTATAGAAAATAAAGCTTATGATCAGGGCTCGAGACATCTAGCATTTTTATATTTATTCATAGGATGTTAAAATATAGCAGAGTAAGCTACAAATCTGTTTCATAGTAAAAGAAATGCAGCTTTAAAAGTTTTTAGTGTATATTTTTGGATATTTTAGGGTTTTTGGATATTTTCTACTATTTTTTAAAGTATCATGCTATTTTTTGCATATAATTTGTTAATCTGAAAAAAATGAAGTAGTTTTGAGAGTTTTGTGAGCGCCTAGTGTTAAATTCCTATTTTACAAAAGTAAAATGTAAAAACGTATAAAGCCGCGTTTATATTAAAACTGTTCAATGTGAACGCCGATTCGGCCTAAAAACTATTTCGTTCAATCATTCACTTTTATAAAGTAAATGCGGCTTTTTTTTTTTAATTACTTGACAATGACGACGCAGTCAGCATTTAAGAAGCGATAAAATATATCAATGAAAACGGAATAGACGAAGTATTCGTCTTAAGTTATGACGAATCACGGTTAGGTACAGCTATCACATTTATCACGAAAAAACTTTTTTTTCACCCAGGACCAAATAAAAATAGTCCTTAATCATAATATACGGATTACTGTATTTTTTTTTTTTTTTGCTTAAACAATAAGAATTATTGCTTGTATTTTTATTATCTCTCATTGGCATTCGGACAGTTGAAAATCGAACCGGTACTACAATGACGGATGCTCAACGAAAATTAATTACCTGCAAATGGGGTGCTGGTCAACGGCGAGGCAAGCACCATGAGTATAAGTATGATGCGCTTGTGGTATTCGCGTTTGACGAATATGATCTTGAAGCTTTTTGCGATGATGGACGGGTCCAACGTGGTCTTGTACAACGATCCTGACGGCGATTTATATGGCACGGACGAATCGTAAATGAACAAGGAGCCTAGGCACAGGCCCAGCACGTTGATTCCGATGTTCAGTGCGAACACGCCGACGAAACCGAGCTTGACATTCAGGTAGCCGAACGACAGAATTCCCAGGGTGGCGGACAGCGGCAGGATAGCGGTCGCGTAGCCCAGCCGCATGGTGCGGTTGCTCTCATCCGTCACGTCGGACAGGTACGCGAACACGCCGATCAGGAAACAATGGAACGTGCCGGTGGACGCCGACGTAAGAGCCTGCATGATCCCGGTGACGGCGGGCGACACCTGCCAGAACACGGTGAACAGTATGTTGAACGTGTCGCACAATATTTGCCCGAAAACCGGCACGAACATGAGCGGCCGGCGCCGGCGTCCGTGGTTGTCGCTCCACGGTCCCGCGAACATGATGAACACGAGCGACATTAGCTCCTGGATGATGTGTTTCCACACGTTTATGGCGGCCACGCCGTGCTGCGACTCCTTCTCCATGAGGCACAGCGACGAGTTCTGCAAATTCGGTGCCGCGGTCGCTCCCAAGTCACATCCCTTGCGCAGCAACAGGTTTGAGCCGACGGTCGACGAGATCACGGTGGACAGGAAGTAACAGAACAGCATTGGCTCCACAGTCACTCCACACCGTAACGGTATCGCTCGTGTCAACTTAAACGCTGACGCGTGAATCGCCATGGTGCAACAGCGTGTGAAAATTTTTAGCCGTCCGATATGTGCTGCGAAACCAAACCGAGATCAGTTACTGGTTCTGAGTTTAAGTCACTTTTGCCATTATCAATCACTAATGTATTATAAATATTATTGCTTGCGTTTCGCAACGAAGGTATTCAATGTATTCGGAAACCGGTTTTCAGCGAGATTCGCTGGGTAAATAGTATTAATCGGTTTTTCTGTTTTATTTTTTTTTTTTCGTTTCCCATATCATCAGTGGCGTATTTTCTGGGGACTCTTGGGTGGGTTCCCGGGTCTCGAACTCTCTCCAATAGAAAGAAAACGTTTAAAAGTCACAAATGACTTGCTGCGAATGTACAGGGAACTGTGGCGAATGCTGACTCTGATGTATGGGCATGCACATTTATCGTAATGTTTTATAGTTATATTTAATTTATAATTAATGAATAGTCTAAAAATTTGTATTAATTTATAAATAAGACTTTAATTTAATATATATATATACACAATAGCACTAACTTAAATAATATTTAACTAACTAAACAATATTAAAAAATAGCATAATAAAACAAAACGAATAAAAATTGTCTTATAATCGTACACGTAAATTTTATAAATTACGACATTGACGAAGCGCCACATAATGAGCATGCCCTGGGTAATAAATATCGCGACTGCTAGTAGAGGTGGTCTCGGAATAACTGGTATTTTACAGCGGTAACAAGCGTTATATAGCTTGCGCACACATTTATCGCATACTCTGTCATTAAATGTTACAAAGTATAACTGAATTAAATTACATTATTGTAATAAATTATGTTCTTTTAAAATACCTAATATATTATTGATTAAAAAATAGTTTTTGTATTTTGATTAATAACAATTTTATTCCTAAGCATGCAGCGCATGCTGGCCCTGCCTGAAGAATTCGCCACTGACAGAGAAAGAGACATTAATTGATATCATGTAGATGTAAATAACTCTACATTTGTATTTATAATAATAATAGAATGATATAATTATTAATTCATACCTTATATTTATTTTTTATAACATTATAAAATCACTTATTTTTTAGAAAAATTTTAAATCCCCCACAAAAAATTTGAAAATACACCACCGCATACCATAAATACTTTTCAATATTAATTAACATTGTTGTAATGTACCATCTGTTTCATACTTTTAACGAATTGTTTTACACTACAATAGAAAAAAAAAATTTTAATTAAAAGTTTAATAAATAAATAAACATAGCAATATAAATATTTATAATATATGTACATAAGCGTTGAATACTCTATATGCAATATGATACGATAAGTTGTAACTTAATACGGTTTTATAAAGTAAAATAATTTTATAATAATATGTTAAAATACCAAATCTTCAAGCAAAGAAATTCGCATTTAGAAGACTATGCACGTCATAAAATGATGTACGGCTTGTAACTGGGCTGGACACATTGTTTATTTTTGGCCAATTTCACTTAAACTGATAATGATTGTGAGAATATTGAAAGTATTCTACTCAAAAGATTTTTTTGACAGATTTTACATTGAATCATAAATGTTGATCGCAACTAACAGTGACCCTCAAAAACATAAATATTCATTATTTTCCGTACAGTAATAATATATCTAGTAGCATATTATTTCTCATTTTGGTTTTTAATACACGAAATTTATAATCGACTTATATTGTTAATTAAGATTATCTGAAAATTCAAAGAAAAATTTCCTAGTTTAGTAATTACCTTTAAAACAATTTTAAATACAAATTATTTTATAATTCCTCCGGTTTCTACAGAATATTCATCGCTTGAAAATTTATAGCACATACTAAAATCATCAACTAAAATGAATTATTTGTTACGGTTTCAAATTCGTTAAGACTTTTGTGTTCTATAATAGCATGTAAAAATAATAACTTAGATTTTATTACGAACCAGTGCTTTGTATATTTCACTTTTTTTAAGTGATCTATTTTTTTAAGATTATAAAAATGCCATAAATCCTAAACAAAATGTTTTTCAAAAAATATTTAAATACAGTGTACTGTAAACCCATTGATTCTCATCGCCATTGTACAGAATCAAAAATGTCGAAATAAACATATTTTTAGTATACCATATTCTATTGAAGAATAATCGATCAAAAAAAATATATCCTAGGTCCTATCCTTTGGTCTTCTATAAATAAAATGTATGATATAGTTTCGAATATAAAAATCGCTTACACAAAATGTTCAGTTTTCACTTTTTTAGCAATTTTCGACTAGTGGTATAAATTGATTTATATACAACAATATTGTCTTCGGAATAGATACTCTATTATTTTTTATACATAATAATTATTGTTGTGTTCCTGTAAATAGAAACTGCTACCATATATATCTATATTGCGGGTGAAATATTGAGAAAAAAAAATTTTATTAACCGGATCAAATATTTATTTACAAGCCGAAGTACTATATTTAATTAATTGCTTTATTTCATAATGATAGTTGTATCATATAGAGCGTATTATGATTTTATGAATTTGTATAAATTTAAGTGGAAATTATGGGATTATTCGACTATTATTCTGTTGCTATGATTGATGATATTATTTTAATGAAAATAGTTATCTACTTCTAAGTATAAAATGAAACGTATGACATCAGAACATCATTCAAATAATAATATATTTTAATTGCTCATAATTATAAATAATTAAATCATTTGCATTTAATTTGATCGATTATTTTACATTTATTTAACAATTCTAAAAGTTTTTTTTTTACTATATACGTTTCATGTTGACCTCATCATTAAATATCCGGCCTTTTTTTTAATTTTCATAATTTTGTTTATTATTGTAGCCCTATCGTTTGAATAAAAACATAAATTCAAATTTAAACACTGAGTTGTTCTTGATTATTAAATATAAAGTTATATACTTCTTTAATTATAAATCGTTTTTTACTCGTTAATAATAATAAATTTAATTTACCACAAACGTCTACCACGGCAAACACACCGGTTGCCTACTCAAGGACACGTAATTAAAATAATTAAATTATTTTATAATAATTATAAAATAATATTCCTTACAAATTTTTCCATATTATGACAGTAAAACCACCGTAAAATAATTTTAAGTCACCTCTATCACTGTCGTTTATCTTCAAGCCAATTAAATTATTTACAAGATATGTTATTACATCCAATTAGTCTGATATAACAAATGGTATTCTGTAGAACCAGATAAACATATTAAAATAGTATTGACTCTCCAACATTTTTTAAAAACACAAAAAATGTTAACATCTATCAATCACTTCAATTACAGTAAGGAAAAATTATGAAAAATTCATTTCCAAAACCTACTTAAAATACAATATATAATTATCCTTACAATGAAACTCAAAAACATATTAATATTAATCCTAGAAGTTAGTATAAACGTACCCCGCAAACCCAGGCACTTATTTTCAAGCAACTAAAATACTAAAAGGAACAAAAAAAATAATAAAATAAAAAAATATTAAACTGACCCACCCCAATCAAGTACTATGAGATAAACTATCGTTTTTAATCATTGATTTTAAATCATTAACTGCATCCCTAATAATAATTCTCACTGATATCCCAACTCATTTCTAATAATAAGAATCAACTACTAATTAATAAACCATTTTTCTAAAAAAAAAAAAAAATGATTCTGATTCAAAGAGATCATGTGGGTTATTATATATTTCTAAATATGGTTAATATAGTAGATGAACTAAATTTATTAATAAAGTAGGCTGAATTTTCAAAATTCCAACTTAACCAAAAAAAAAGGCACTTAAAATTTACTATTTTCTCAAATTTTAAATGCCTATAAATAGCAAAAATTTGAATTCAATATATTGTAACTATAAAATACCTTTAATTTAATAACAAAAATTATTTAATATAATTTCATTGAAATATTAGATTTCGTAAATATTCCACTTTTTTACTATTATAAAACATTTGTGACTTTCCAATAAATTTTGTTTTTATAACTTTTTGTCAATTTTTCACAATTATAAGAAAAATATTTAGAAATTCGTAAAATGACTCTTTTTAAAGCACCAACTGGATAATATTTCCAACCAAAATTAAACATAATTAAGATTTTCATATAATTCTGCATTCCGAAGCAGTCCTTCTAGTCTAAATTATGTACACAGACAAAAAAAAAATTAAAAACAATTCACATTATAGAAAAAAAAATATATTTTTCGTTTTACTTAGAATCTAAAATAAAAACTAACTAATTGCTATGTGCGTTTTTTTATTTCTATGTATATTTTAATTTTGAAGTGTATATTAATTATGAACATAATATTTGCCAGCGTTTCAAACGAGACAATGCTATTAATTTATTTAGTAAAAATATATAATTTTATTTTATATATAATGTTATAAGACATTTCGTAATAATATTGTTTATAGCCGTTTGTGACTTCATAAATAAATTTACTAATTTTATTAAAAACCTTAGATGATATTCAAAACAAATATGTTGAAATAGTTTAATACAAAACTTCAGCTTGACTATCTCATGAATAAGATATCACACAATTAAGTTCAAACTCAAATCATAACCCAATCACATTTTATGAATTAATATTCAATACAAGTATTTCGTATTATAAGTATATAAGTATTATGATTATACACATTATATGTATTAGATGCTGTAGTTCTTATGTAATTTTCACAGTATAATTAAATACAAAAAAAACATAATAATGACTTTGGATTTGTATAATTTGTTTGATAGTTTTTATAATTAAATTAAATCAATTAGCGTTTTATAGATTAACATAAAAAATTATGATAATCCTAAATGTTGACATTAAAGAGCTGGAGAATTGTTTTTACAGAAAAAGGGTTGAAAGTTTTTCAGGACCGTTAAACGAATTTTGAAAAATATTAAACAAATTCAACCAAACAACAAACAAATTTACGTCATTTGAATCCTTAGATTAAGAGGACGAGGGAGTGGATCAGTGAAATATAAGTTCAATTATAATACTTGTATTATACAAACGGTATCGTGTATTTTAAAACAATTATGTTACTTAAAATAAATTAGAATCAATATTTAATTTATTTAGTAGATAATTATTATTGTTGATTAGATAAGCCTAATCGTTTATATTCACTGTACCAAAAAATATATTTACCAAATAATGACCAATTATGGTAAAAAAATATATAATATTTTTTTATTTTAGTAAAATTATGAATACGACCTACTTGACTCAAATCTATTAGTTATAAATTAGTGTTAATAACCTATCGTTATTTATAGTTACCAGTTATTTTGCTTCGTCTACCGCTAATACTTTTATTATTCAGACAGAAATACCGTTAAAACCAAATTGACCTTCACGATTTGATCATGCTTACTGCCATAATCATTTATTCAAATACAATATTTACAGACAATATAATTATGCATATCTATTAATGTTTAAAATGTATTAAATATCAATAAACGCTTAATAAAAATTTTTTCAACATTTTTAATCCCACTTTACGTTATTAAGTAATAATTATGAGTACATATATCCATTATTCAAAAAAATATAAAAATATTTTTATTTTTTTTATTACCTCTCAACAATAAGTTATTAATTGCTGAACCATAATACATTTTATTAAAAGATAGTTCGTTCTATCCCATCTTTTTCACTTAGAATCTTCTTTTTGAGAGCAATATTACGTTGGTTTCAAGTTTAAATGCCCAATACAGTAATACCATTTACTCATCCCTTGCATCTCATTCGATCATAGTGTATTATTTGACCTAAAAGTCTTATCCTAATTAATAAAACAAATATTATGAAAAAAAACTTACAGAATCAAATAATTGTTAATTTATCTTAAAGATGAACAAAATTATAACAAATTATAGAAGTATCGAAATGATGAAACATATGATACATTTGTAAAAGATTCCAAACAACATTTTAAATGTAGCTTTATATTGTATGTTTGTTTACTTATATTTAATATGATTTTTTTTTATCAAAAATTATATTTTTTAGAGAATGGATCTTATATTATAAATCTAAATAATCTTTTGATGTTAAAATTTTATAAATAAATTATAAATAATTATTTATAATTATTCATACATTATTCAAGTTATTTTATTTTAATGAAGTGTTGAAATTTTAGTGTGTTTAAGAATTTAAGTGTCAATTTACTTTTTATATAATATTATATTCTCATTTATGAGATATATAGTGTATTTATATATATATATATATAAGACGCATTACTTATATTCAAATACAAATAAAACCAGTTTCTCTTATTTTTTTGGAAAAAGAATGATGCAATTATAGGAGTTTCAAAATTGAATCTTGTCTACGAATAAAACTCACTAGTTCCAATCCAAATATATACCTCTAATATAAATTAGGCATATTGTATGTGTGTAGACACATAACTTTTTTGTTGAATAAATAATTTTATTATTTATAAACAAGGTTAACTACTTTCTTACGATACAAAATTCTTGCAGAGACATGTATGTACATTTCTAATAAACAAAATAAATAAAAAAAATACACTAATTTGTTATGTCTTCATCACTTTTAACTAGGAATATATTTTCATTAATACCGAGTATAATTAAATTTTCGAATAATAATGACTAATATTTTACATTAAAAAGATCATGAAATTTTGTTACCGAGATATTAAATCGTTTGATATCACACAATTATTATAACTAATCGTAATTCTAAAATTATAACAAACTATAGTTATTATATGATTAAACTGCCCAGTTAATTTATCAAATATTTAAACGGACGTTATGTAGCTAAAATATACAATGTATCAAAAAATAGATAAATTCTAAATCTTATATAAAATTTAATAAGTAAATGAAGGTAAAAATGTGAATAAAAGATTAAAAAATGTCGATAAACAAATATATTCTTACAGAGGTCAATACCTCTTTTAAGTGTTTTCTATAAGTATAAATAAATAAAATTAATTAATTAAATATTGACAATACCACAATGGTATAAATTCTGATAAACATACATTATGGGAATGATACAACGAATGTATTATAATTGTTCTAGAATACATATAGAAATCAATAAAACTTATAGTGAATACTTCATCGTCAACATTACTCAGGGCCTGTTAGTGTTTAAAATAGAATATAGTTAAAGAGACGATTTAAGTAGATTTTTTTTTATTTAGAACTATCTAATTTTGTATTCAAAATTTTGTTTTATTTCTCAAATCATAAATAAAAATACTAAACATCGCAAGTTTCGTGTGACCACTGTGGTTAGGTTGGGTAGAACTGTTCTTTAAGTCAAATTATTCACTCATTTTTACTTGAACAATAATGAGATGATTTTTTAATTTTTACATGTGTGAACTAATTATTCCTGAATGAAATTATCAGGGTTTAAAGCCAAAAAGATCAGGAGTGACTCTAATCCATATATCATTCTCAGCGTTCATATTCCTAAACATTTACTAGGTAATTAATTATAAATAAGAATATATATTCTGAGGTGGGTGTTGTTAGTGAACAATTTCCTCCGCAAACTATGTTCTGTAAAAATGTATAAGCTTGTAAATTACTTATTGTTTTAAGTAACAGATTGTAAATATCTTTTAATAAAATAAAAATAAAATAAAAAAAGGTATATATAAATATAAAAGTATATATTACTATATAATTTATAATTTATATTTAATATGAGTTTTATTTGTAGAACACTATTTAACACCTAGGTTAATAGCATCAATTCAATCGCAAAACCAATTTTCAATTGTTTTATTATGTATAATTATATTTAATAAATAGCTTAACCTTTTAGTAAACTTTTTGAAGAATTGTCAAAAGGGACGCTTGAAAAGTAGAGGGACTAAGTCTCCTTGCGTCCCTCCACCAATTAAAGCTCCGGTTATTATACTTATTTACGTTTAAAAATTAATACTTATATTTTATAAGTAAAACATTTAAATATAAATATAAACATGGTAAAAATAATTAATGTTTTAATTAAATTTAGAACTTTAACGGCTTACTGCATAAAATGTATTACATATTAATATAATATAAAATGTGTAAATTAATTAAAAAAAAAAAAAAAAAACTGAAAAATTTTAAATTACTTGTACCGCTCAAAAATCGTTTTTTTTTAAATCATAACGATACAGCATCAATATCCCAATTACTATACATTTCAAGGCTTCATAATTTCTAAAAATTTCTACTTCAATCAATTTTTTGATCAAGTCACTAGATGGGATTTAAAAAAAAATAACATTGTGTTATGTTTTTATGACTGCAATAGCGTATTATTATACTATTGTGCAATATATCCACGTATTTGAGGTTGCCGTTAACACAACAGTGCAAGACTTGGAAGAAATTGAAAAGAGGATTTGTTACATCCACCACTGTTATGGAAATATACAAACTTAAAAAAAAAGAAATTAAAAAAAGTTCCACATTTTAATATACTATTACTATGTATATTAACTCTCTTTGAGAGAGGCGAAAAGACCGCATTCCGAATTCCCTCAGTACCGCCATCCACACTTGGAAGTATGAAACAACTTAGCTATACCAATAACATTTCGATTATCCTATGGTATAAAAACTCTGTGACTATAATTATATACTTATTATAATATTGTCTACGTACGATGTAAGATATTTACTGAATCGGCGAGTCTTGATTTTTCATCTAGATGTCGACAAAGCGGACGATATACTTTTCATTGGTAGTTCACAGAATGACTCTTTGCGGCGATAAAATGTGTGTTTATTTCTTTATATAAGCTACTGTTATGTGTTCAACAGAAATGTCGTAACGTTATCGCACGATCGCGGAACACACGAGACTGAGTGCACACGACTCAAACAAGAGGTTTCGCCGCATAGATCGGCGTACCTGGGCGCTGACAGATCGACGGCGGTTGCATCATACACTACACATACATAATATTCACTTACCTTCTAATACATGTAAATATTGTACTATGCAAGCGAACCAAAGGAATATGTTCATTATTAATATATAAATGTTTATACGGTTAAATCGTTATAATCCCTACTGGGATAACAATATTATAATATTGTTATCATATATAATACATAATATGTATATTATCGTTCCATGTTGCCTTCGTGTTTAGACAGTATAGCCGTGTATGCTTTATGTTTAAGTGTGTCGCCCCCCTCCCCTAGATGTAGGTGTTCGAGTCGACAAGAGCGTTCCTCTTTCCAGTCACTCGGGCAAACTTGGCGGATGTGCCAGAAATGAAATACGCATACATACATGATGTGTTAGATAGGTTTATACTAGTGCTGATCACACTATCCGGAACGATCGGAAACATTGACCCGGATAGAAACAAATGCTACGATCGTATAATGTGGATTACAATATCAACCCTGATTAATTTTTTTTTTTAATGATAATTTTAAAGATAATTTTTCTATTTGCAGGTGATTTGCATCATGCATTTTATTAAATTATTACGATTATTTTGCTTGAAGAAATAAAAATTAAAGGTTTTCTTTCCTCTAAATTGGTTAAAAAACATCATGAAAATGTATTGAAAAGAAATTATTATAATAATAATAATAATAATGTCATGTATATTTTTACCTAACACCGGTGCTCGGATTTAGCAAACATATCCTATGAAAATGTACTGTGGGGTAAACGATCGTTACATAGGCAGGCCTGGAGTTCTATAATTTATCGTACCAGCATTTTTTTTACCTCATACTTTTTTCTCCATAAGATGATATATAAAATACACAACAGCTAAAATATTTTAAATATTCAACACTTGTTTAACAACCAATACTATAATAAATTATTATATACATAATATTTACCTGTATAGTATAACTAGTTAATTTACTTACTATAAGTGCTTATAATGAAATGAGTTTAAATGGTAAATAAGCTGGGTCTACAATAAATAAGTCTAAAAAATGCAAGTATTCATGAAGGTTACACTTGTATAGAGCTCTGTTATTACTGTTTAGCTCGGGCTCATCATCATCGTGCATCTAACAATAATCACCAACTGACCTTCCGTAAACATGTGAATTGTATATATATATGTGTGTGTGTGTGTGTGTGTGTGTGTGTGTGTGTGT